GGGGAAAGGGGAAGCCCCAGATCCCTGCGCCGGACATCCACACCCCAGCTCTGAGGCTGATGCACTAGGCAGAGATCGTGTGGTCTGGCTCCAGTCTTGTTTCAGCTCTGTGCCTTGTGTGTGGTGGCTGTCTTCTCGGTGGTGCGCGAGCCAGGAGTATTTCTTCAGTACTCAGGCCACATGCGCCTGGGGTTTCCTTCCCTAAGTGCCCAGTAAGTACTGCCCTTGGGGCTTGGGGCCACCTTCCACAAGTTCCTTGGGTTCTGCCTCTGCTTGGCCGTTGGCTGCTCAGTTTTCGGCCGCCGTTTGTGTGCTAGGGTGTTCTGGCTCCCTTAGTTCGCCATAGGGTAGGAGGCAGTTAGCACTGGTAAGGGGCACAAGACACTGCACAGCATGTTTTCACCATTCATAGCGTACAGCTCTATTTCGCCTAGGTACGCTGTCCTATTGTTTTTTTTCTTTTTTGCTGCCTAGTGGGGGTCTGCCTTGTTTATTGCCCCCTGTGCACTGAGTGCTCCTACTTTTTGGGTGGTACCCCCCCCTGCAAGTTTTCCCATAAGTGTACACGTCCCGGGGGTTTGGCTATTAGAAAGTTGTTTGGTAGACTTGGGCGCTGGATAGCGGTACCCTGCCTGGGCTTCCCTGAGCATGATTTCCATCACAGGACTTTGGGAAAATCCCCACAGGGGCGCGCGGGTCTGATGGATGTGACCCCTGAGTCCCCCACTCGCTTTGTGCGAGTTCGAGAGTTGCTCTGTCCCTTTGTCTCAGGGCGACTCTCACTGTTTTTTGCCTCCATCACGCTGCCTGTTAGGTCAGTGACACTTACGACCCTGAGTCCTGCGAGTTTTGTTGCTTGCTGGTGACTCAGTTTACCCAGTCTAATGATGACATTCTTTGGGTACAGGCAGCGCAAGCATTGCATGTTAGGTTTTGGTTGTTGCAACACGCTAAGTCAGTTGCTGTGCCAGATGCCCCGAGGCTGCCCCGTTTTGCTTATGGGGACCCGGACTTGGGGGTGTTGGTCGCTTCGGCCTTGGATCTGTCCACGCCCCCTCACTTTTTCCCTGCTGTGGTTCGATCTGGCCCCCCCTTACCCTACTTCTGGCTGCAAAACGTCTGAGGGTATTGGAGTTGGGGCAGAGTTTAGATGGCTTGAGACTCGGGCAGTCTCAGGGGATGCCCCTTCTGGTGTGGTGATGGAGGCATTCGAGTCGTTTCTCCCTGCCAAAGCGTCTGGGCCTGACCAATGGGCCCCCTTCCGTCCACCTTTTATGGCTGCACCGGCCTTTTCTTCTGAGGCTGGGGTTTTTGGAGATGACTAATTGGCCCCCGGGACCTGATGTGAAGGTTCTCGGGGCGGGGCAGGGGCTGAATTGAGGGCCTTTTGTCCCATTGGACCCTGCGTGGTTTTTTTTTTACCCTTTGAGCAGGCCTTACTGATACAAGGAGGAGTTAACTTTTCCCCCTCTGCGTACGAATTGGATTTGGTGTTTGCCCTTCCCCAGGTTCAGTTCCGTGTCCCTCTGGGTGCTTTGGTCCCGTCTTTCTGGAGGTTTTCGGCTTCCCGCATCCAGCCTCATGTGGTGCGGGAGGCCTTTGCGGCCTACCTCCTGCGCGACCCGGATTACGCCTCTATTATGGATCCGTCTTTATTCAGGTTTGGGTCTTTGCTTCCCTACTGGATCTGATATGAGGTCCCGGAGTTGTCCTGGCTAGCAGACTGTCTTGCGTTTGCTTTGGAGGCATGGCATACTTTCTGTGGTTCCTGCATGCTTGAGTGGTGTGAGGCGTTGACAGTTGTCTAGGTTTTCTTGGGGGGTGACCTGGAGCACCTCAATGAGTGCTTGTTTGCCCCTGCCCTTCCTCGGGATTTTGGCATTGTGCAGCTCCATTTGCAGGTTCCTTCCCTTTCGGCTGCGCAAGTTGCTGAGGACTTGCGCACTCGTGACCTCTTGGCTCTGGCTTTGCGCTTCTTTTCCCTCTTGGAGGTGTCATCGGACTGGCTTGAGGAGAATGTGGAGGCGCTTGGGGCTGTTCCTTGGTACGGTTCCTTTGGCTCGCCGACTCACTCGTCGTCTGCCTTGTTGAAGCTGTTTGCGTTGATCCTGCAGGATGCGGTGTCCCTGTTTTATGCCTCCCGGCTCGACCTGAGGTTCATTCTGAACTTGTCCTGACTGAACCCCTGGGTTCATTGCCCCTCTTTTCAGATGACTACGCTGTCCCAGATCCGGCTTATGTTGGAGCCGGGCACTTGGATGGTGCCACTGGACCTCCAGAACATGTATTGGCACATCCAGATTCATCCGAGGTTCAGGGACTGGCTCGGTTTTGTTGTGGGGCATCAGAGTTACCGCTTTCGTTGTTTCCCATTCAGGTTCAATCTGGCATCTCGCGTTTTCACATGCCTGACCGGGTGGGGGTGGCCAGTCTGCGTCTTTTAGGTGTTCGGGTGCTGGCCTACCTCGACGACTGGCTGGCATGGGCTCTCAGCCAGTCTGCCTGTCTGCTCGCCAGGAATTTGGTTCTTTCCCAGCTCGCTGGATTCGGGTTCTTGGTGAACTGGAGGAAGTCCCATCTAGTTTCTTCCCAGGTTCGGACTTAGCTGGGTCTTGTTTGGGAATCGGTTTGGGACCGATTCCTCGTCTCTCCCTCTGGAATCTCTGCTTCACCTACAGTCCTGCCTTTGCCGTTCTCTGGAGGGCTCCTGGGTCACCCGGTGGTTGCTCGAGGGTCTGTGTGGGAGCCTGAACTGTGCAATATTGGTCTACCCGCCAAGTCGGATTTGGCTTCGTCAGGTGTTCTGGTTCCTTCGGGGACGTCCCTTCCGCCTCTCTCGTGATCGCTGAGTTCGATCTCTGGGGGCTTTGCGTCAGTTGCTGCATCTCCGGCTTCCTCTTTGGGTTTTTCGGGGTTCAGTGCCTTTGTGCCTACCCGAGCCCACACTCAATGTGTTCACGGACGTGTCGTCTCTTGGCTTGGGAATGGTGACTAGTGTTCACTACGCCGGCCAGAGGCGGTAGGGTCTGTCCTTCCTTCAAGCCCACAGCACGGTGCAGGAGTTTGCGGCAGTGTGGTTTTCTCTTCACAGGGTTCGGGTCGTCTGCAGATCGACAATCTGGCTCCATTTGAACTGCTTCCCGATGGTTCATTGTATCAACCGAGGGGGTTCGATGCGGTCCTTGGCTCTTTGGCGCTGGTCACTTCAGGTGACTCCTTCGCCGAGTTCTTGGGGTTTGGCTCTCCTGGCAGTTCACGTTCGGGGGGTGTCCAAAGTCTTGGCAAATGGCCTGTCTCATTTTGTTCCCCTGTCCACAGAATGGACAGTCGACACCGACTCGTTCCATTGGCTCTGCCAGACATTCGGGTGCCTAGAGGTGGACCTCTTCGCGTCGGCATGGTCAATGCATCTCCCGGTATATGTGGCGCCCTTCCCTGACTGCGAGGCCGTCAGGATCGAGGTCTTCAGGCAGGACAGGTCGAAGTGGCCTGTACCTCATTTCCCCAGTTCCGCTTTTGCTCCAGGTCCTGGCCCAGCCTTGGTTGGAGACAGAAAATGGACAGAAAGAACAGAAAATGCCATGATCTCAGCTGCCCATACTGTCATGTGAAAGGCACAGCACCTCCCCAGGAAACTGCCCGTAACGGTTGTCTAACTCCCAGATACCTATTTACTGCTAGGTAACAGGGGTAGCAGGGTGAAAGAAACCCTGCCCATTTTGTTTCTCGCCTGCGCCAGGAATCAAACCCTGGTCCACAGGATTACAAGTCCAGCGTGGTGTCCACTCGGCCACCTAGTGTGTTAGCTGTTGTACTTATGAAGTATTGTGTGGACTGACATCCCCGGATTCGTCCAAGAGAAGCTCCTTGACGACAGTAGTCGCCATCTGCTGAGAAGTGCTGCTAGTGTGTTGTTAGAAACTTCTGCCAAGGTGTTAGAGACCCCTTTAAGTGATTATTTGTGACCCCTGTCAGCGTGCTGCTGAAGCCCTCTGCCAGTGTGTTTCTGGAGAACAGATGTTGGGTATTGGGACATCGTGACAATATGGTGTGTAGACTGGCCCATGTTGAAGAAGGTGAACTCGCTGGTGATTACCATTGAGCGTGGACGATATATACTTGAAGGTAGTGGACTCGCTAGGATTTGAAGAACACTGCAGATATTTTGAACAATATATTATATATATTAATATATTTCACCCAGTGTCCTGGGTGAAAGCGACACTGTGTACATAAGTGTAGTTGTACTTCGATAGATAATATATTGGTGAAGGTGTAATTGCGTCTTGTTTACCCCCCTTTATTCCTTGCACTGTTACTTGCTACCACCACTTCTTGAGAACTTACCATTGACTTTGGGTGGGATCATAGAAGAAGAGGCTCTAAGGTACATTACACAGAAAGAACCCAGTTACTGGCTCAAGGAAGCAGTAACAGCTTTTCTTCTCTAACTCTTTAGTAATTACCCAGCATTTCCAATCATCCAAGTTGCCGTTAGTGAGAGTTTACTGAACTGTAAAATTCACAAAAGTAGTGTGTATTTGAGTGCAATACTCTACATACGTTTAGGTTATATATAGAGCATACTGTACTGGAATATAATGTAGACACATCAGTCATTATGGGACTCTGTACTGTAAATTCTGGGGTGTTAGTCCCCAAATTGAATACAATCTTCAATGGCTTTTGTTTTGGTCAGTAAGGATTAGAAAGTTTCATTATTTGCTTGGAAAATGTACTGAATTTAAACAATCTTTGACAATCACTTGCAATAGCTAATAGCTTTATTCCAGTCTCAAATTATTAGGGTGAAAATTATGGCCAATACCAGGACATTTAACATTTTTAGAGAGTGAAACTTAGTTATCTGGCCTGAATTATTGGTAAATGTGAGTCATGTTGTTTTTCTACAAACACACTTTTACCAAAAAGAATGAAATTCATTCTTTAGGTTTCATTATAGTATTAAAATTTACTTTTCTTCTCTACTTTTGATTCAGGTGACAGAGTCATGTTTGGAACGTGCATGCTGGGGTTTGATGGGCAGCATAGACACACCTGCAGAAGAAAGACGTTATGAGGAACTTACAGATGCAGCACAACTCCATCAAACCATTGCTGCCTTCATCAACGAATATAACATGGAGAATAGAGCACCATTAAATCTTGTTACTTTCAAGTGAGTTAGAGACTAGTCTTCTAGGGGTATTAAAAGTATTGGTAAAGAGGTAGAAGACTGACAGTCTAAATTAGAAAAACATTCTACATGTTTGGAAAAAAGTCTGTAACAATAGCAACAAACACTGCTGCTACCATTGTAATACAACTGAAATGTCACCATTGTAATGATCATCGACTTTCAAGTACAGCTGTTAATGTACAACTATGGTAACACTCACTGTAATGGTTGCTTTAACTTGTAACCCCTTAGGCTGTACTAGTTGCATTGATTTAACCCCAAAGAACTTTGAGAGTGCCCTCACAGCAGAAAATGCTTAAACCAGTTATCAGGGGGGAGATGGGGACAAATGACCAAGATGTTAAAAATATCTTTACAATTCTCACAGCCCCGATGGTAGAATGAGGTTACTCATAAACAAATAATGCTGCCACCATTCCTAGAACTTTGATAATTAGACTAATTGACTCGGGAGGAGATCAGTCGACTAATACCAAGTGCTAGGGAGCTTTGATCTTTTAATACTCACTAGGTTAATGGAATTCCTTTTACAGTTAATGTCATGAATTACAAGGAGAATATATTTACTCATAAAAATGCCTATCAAATCACAGGTAATGCCCAAAACAATTTAAGATATAAGACTCAGAATTAATTAAGGAAAATATATAAAATACACAAGAGATTAATAAACAGTAACTTTAATTAACAAAGCAGAAATATATTAATCCTTAGGCTAGTGACATCCTGTACTTAGAGGCATGAATAATGGACTTCAAATTGTACAGGGAACTAAAAACAAACAAATACTGTACCCTCATCACTGCTTTCTCAGCCGGTGTTTTGGCTCCGTGGTAGACCACCCCACCCCTTCTACAGCACTCACAAGATCACACTAACACACTTATATCACATATCCTTCAAGGAAGTATAGGTTCCACCTCTCTCCTGGGCCTACATCCAATCAGCTGAAACCAGGCCTAAGGTCCTGGCACTCATCCAATGACAAGATTTAAATCTAATAGGTGGGGCTTTCACAGGAAACTGAAATAAACTGACTTCTGGCTGAACCCAAGAGAGGAGACATGACAAGGCCTCTCTTGTAATTTGACAAGGCAATAAACCTGCCTTTGCGACCAACCAAAGGAGGGGGACAGGGGCCTGTAGGGAAGGGCAGGAGAAGAGGAAGGGGTAAGGAAGCAGAGAGAAGGCAGGTAGGAGGAAGGAATAATAAAGAAGGGAGAGAGAAGAGACGAGAGGACAATGTGATGTCCTCTGTTTTCTATTTTCCTACCATGTTTTGCCATTACACACCAATCAAATTACAGTAAACTAAAAATTAACAATTCTCGAGTTGAGATCAGAGTAGATGGGAAAATGCCTTGCTATTCACATTGACAACAAGTTAAATTTCTGTTACTATGTATAGAATTAATAAAAGTTAAAACAATAGGTTTTCTGTATAATATCAGATACTGCTACTAACCTTGCTCTACTTTTGTAACACTTACTGCTCACTCATTTATCCACCTCTTCCCTATGGTATATGTACCTGGGGATCTACAACCTAAAATTACTTTCAACCCCTAATTACCCATCATAAATAAGCAATTTATGATGAGTAACAATAACAAACTCCAGTCCCAGATAGAATTCTGCTCCCTTACTGAAATCTTGGAATATGTTAAATACAAAGTCACTGCACTCACTCCCAAGTGTACTCTTTACAAAATTCTGAACTCAATGCTAATCTTGACCTTGAATATTTCCTAGAGGGATGTAACAGAACCCATGGGCACCATGTGAAAACGAATATCTATTTGATGTTCCAAGAGTGCAACTTAACCAAAGCATAAATGCCCTGCAAATGAAGGATCCTAAGTTGTGGAATGACCTCCCAAATAAGATTAAAAGCTCTACTACTCTCAACCAGTTTTAAAAGAGAAGCTAAGACATACCTAATTACCATTATGCAATCAATTTTAGTAATATCTTCATCTTAAATATCAACCTGTGTTTTGCTGTTATTGTGACCATTACTACTATATATTTGTAATATTGCTAGAAACTGCAATTTCTGGAGAAGTCCCATGGTGGCTCCTTGTAGCTATCTCACTAAAAGTTGGACAACAGGTAGGAGCAGGAGTCAGAAAAGCTAACCAAACCATTGAAATAATCAAGTGTACCTTTAACTTTAAAGAAAGAAAGGTAGTGATTCAACTATATAAATCTGGTGTGCCTCCATTTGGATTACTGTATCCAGGCATGGAGACCTCATTTTCTGAATGACAGCTGGAGAAGGTGCAACACCAGGCAACAGAAGTCATTCCAGAGCTATGTCAACTCATGCATCAGGAATGGTTGAGGGCCACAGGGCTAACAACACTGCAAACCCAGCATGACAGGGTGGATCTCACCGAAACTTTTAAAGTTAGAGGATGTTGATCTGGATATTTTTTTTCAGAAGAGGTCAGATGTAACACAAACAAGGAGAAATAATTTCAAGCTCAACAAATCTCAATGTAGGACTGCGAACAGGAGATGCTTTTTCACCCACAGAGTTATTAACCCATGGCACCACCTTCCCGCCAAAGCCATAACTGCCAAAACTATGTTGAGTTTAAAATAGTGGCACTTCGACTTACGACTGCCGCTACTTATGACTTTTTCGAGTTACGGCGTAAATATTGTCAGAAAATGCAACTCGACTTATGACCTTTGCCTCGAATAGCGACTTTGTTGACATGCATATGGGTTGACCGATCGCGTGGTTCCTGGTGGCACGGCCAACCCCGCCTCAGTTTATTACCAGAGCCGTCCACATAGTGACAATTGTGCTTGTAAAGAATTTCATCCCCACCTGCAGTCCCCACCTTCAGCTGTTTCTGCGGGGTTGGGGGGGGCCGGGTCACTTGGCGGTTGCATGAGCAGTCTGTGCAAAAGTCTGAACTTCGCTGTGCTGGTTTACCCACTGGAGTGGGTTTGGCTTCAGCACCTGTTCTGGTTCATTCGGGGACATCCCTTCCACCTATCATGTGAATGCTGGGTTCAGCTTTCAAGGGCCTTGCGTAGGTTGCTGCGTCGCCGGCTTCCTCTTCGGGGCTCAGTGCCTTGGTGCCTACTCGAGCCCTCTCTCGATGTGTTCATGGATGCTTCGTTTCTCGGCGGGCGTTTTGTGACCAGTGCTCACCAGGCTGGCCAGGGGAAGTTGGGTCCATCCTTCTGTCAGGCTCACAGCACAGTGCGAGAGTTCGCGGTGAGTTTGCTGTCACTTTGGAAGGTTTGGGCTGCTCGGGCTTCAACGTTACAGCTCCATTTGAACTGTTCTCCGGTGGTTTATTGTTTGAACCGCAGAAGTTCCCTTCAGTCCTTTCCTCTTTGGGGCTGGTCGCTTCCAGTGGCTCGTCTGTTGGTTTCTCGGGGTTTGGCTATCCAGGGCCAGGTTCTGACTCGTGGTCCTAAAGACCTAGTAGACCTAAAGAACGCCATACACATGACTGATGCCAAAGTCTGACATTAGCAATATAAGCCTGGATAGCTTCGGGGAGCCTCCGGGTCTCACCGAAAAATGACGCTTCATTACATTCAACGTTGGTTTTTTATGCTTAGCCTCTGAACTGAGGTTGGGTAGCTGATGCAGTGGGTCCGGGGCTCCCCCCCCCCTCCCCCCTTTCGGGGATGGGAAGGGCTGCGCAGACGACCGACGCGACAGAAGGTGTGACGTTTGCTCGTTTCCTTGGGATTGTTGGGAGTTCTACCTCTCTATTCGGTTTTCGGTTGCAATTTTCTTACGATATGAGGTCTGTTTTGTTATGCCTACCTTTCTGGGTGCCTAACCCCGGATGATGGCAGATAAAGAAAACCCCCAACCACAGAGGGGAGGGGTTCCAGTGTCATTGCTCCCTGTGCCTCTCTGAGGGGGCAAGGTTCTGGCTCATAGTCCCCAGTAGGCTGCACTCCATTGACTAATGCCTCGGTCTAATGTATCGCATATTAGCCTGAAAGCTCCAGGGGGGGCCTTTTTTCTCACCCAGAAAATGGTGTTTCATCACATTCAACGCTGGGTATTTTTTTGGGGGGGGGGGGGGGATTGGTGACGAGGGTAGCCAACAGCTCTTGTGGGTTCTGCGACCTGGTAGTGGTGAGCTAAAACTAGAGGGATGTTGGGTATGACCCTCTGCTTGGTTAATCATTTGCAGAGTAGTTTGCTACATTCTTGTAAAGCCTCTAACATGCATAGCGTTTCAGGCAGGTCCTTAACCCTTTAACTGCGCAACGCGCCTGCAGGCCCATGTTTGGGGTGCGCTACGCGCCTCCGGGTATTTATATTTTTCATGTAACATTCAAAACTCCATCGGCTACATGGGGTTCACATCAGCTTCCTCAGGGCTCTTGTAAACAGACGCCATCTTTAAAAAAATTGTGGTCCACGTTCCCGGGTGTGAAAGCCTCAGTAGTGAGTGCAACCAAGGCCGGTGCACGCACCATGAGCTCACAACGCTGCTGTTCAGCTTGTGACCACAGCATCGCCAAATAATGTCAAAATATATATATAACTTGTATTATTTAGCCATGATAGTATTACAGAAGAGCCTGAGTGTGATAATAACTGTGTACAATGTTCAAATATTAGTGATTCAATGCTGTTCACAATGTTCACAGCACTAACTACAGCACCACAGCATTATTTCGTCCATCTAGGAATCTTCAAACGACTTCTTAGGTTCCTTTACAAAATAAACTTGTGGTCATTTATGCATTTACAGGATTTAGTGACCAGTATTGTGAGAACAGCAGGATTGTGGTGATAATAAGCACTGTGGGTAGTATTGTGGGAGGAGTAATTGTGGTGAGGGAGCGAGGGAGAGAATCGAGGTACAGTAGCCTCACTGTGTGGCAGCCACTCTTGTTTTGCTCATCATATGAGCTTAATTGTTCGCTATGGTGAACACATTTGTACATGGGTATATACACTGTGTGTGTATAGTGTAGTAACAGCAACAGGAGTATGTTTGTTGGGAGGAGCTATTTTGGTGAGGGAGGTGACGTAATCATAGTGTCATCTGCTGGCTGCTGTGTGATTTCTCATGCAGTGTATGGTGGCCACTGTAAAGTTTAGACACAATAGTGGCTTACTTGCATAGTTCTTGTGTATAAAACTTGTAGATAGGTATACATAACATGTGTAAATAGTGTAATACAAACAATAACAGTATGGTGGGAGGAGCCATGTTGGCGAGTAAGATGTTGGAGGAGTGAGGGAGAGACTGGATGTTGGAGGAGTAAGGGAGTGGCAGCTGACGCTCGCGGAGTTTTGAGTGTGTTCATGGTGAATGTATATAGTGTGTGATAGTGTATAAATAGACTGTATATATACATAAATTAGCATAATACAATGGAAATATGTGCTGGATATGTGTACACATGTCATGCACGTAACACAGTGTCTTCGGAGAGTATGGATGTTCTTCTGCCATAATATAGTTTGTGTGTTCATTATACATAGGATTGACACATAAAAGCATATAAAATGTATTTGGAACTGTGCGCAGAAAATGAACAAAAATATATTCGCAGCAACTCGCGCATCCTACCCCGAGCGCCCTACCGGCCCCGGGGGCGTATGCCACGGGCGACCAGGGAATGATAACGTCACACACGGACTTACGGACCCTATTGCAGCTAAAGTACTACAATTTTGACCTTCTGTTACTATACCCTTACTCAGGGAAAGGTTTTTGACAATTTAAAAACAAAAAAGAATTTTTTCCAGAGATTTTATTTCCTGTCCACTTGAGGGTGTCATATATAGAGGTTGTGCAGTTAAGGGGTTAATCCAACAGGTAATTTTATGTAGGTAATTTCTAGCAAAATTTAAAATGTGTGGAGTAGGTATGGAGATATATCGGTGGAAATCTGGTGGGCAGATTTGATGTTATTTTCAAAGATTCATTTTATGGATGTCCAAATTTTGGAGGTTGTAGTGTGGATATTTAGATGAGTGTGGAGTTAAATGTAATAATTGAAGCATTTAGAATATTGAATGTTTATTTTCCTTTTGTAATTTTTCTACATTATTCACGTTTGCTAAAGTAAAAAATAGGCATTTACATAGATTTTCAATCATTGTGAGGAATTTATACATTTTATTATCTTCAGGTATGTAGTGAACCACATAACACGAATATGTCGTGTTTTGGGGCGTGCTGGAGGCCACCTTATGTTGGTGGGCATGGGTGGATCTGGGCGCCGCTCACTTGCCCGCCTGGCAACACACATCTGTGGACACAAACTTGCTTATCCACAAATTACTGCCCAAGATGGTGAGTATCATGCTGCTCTACCGATTTGTTTGTACTGTAGTACTACATGGATCTTTTTTCTTTGTAACAGTGTTCCTGGATTTATTATTTTTTGTTAAATTTTTCATATATACCTTGATTCGGGGAACCATTTGGGACTAACCCCAGTTTGTTGCGGTGATGGATTCATTGCAGCAGGTGATGCCTTCAGGAGGCATTTATGTAATGCATATTTTTATTAATATAAATCAAGAATATTTCATTGTTATATACAGTACTACATGTACTTATATTACTAGCAGTACTACTAATTATTAGGATAATAAAAAGTTAAAAAAAATACTTGTATCATGAATGATTTATTGTATTAGACTGAAACTTTATAGTCTAGACCAGCCATCAGGCAGGTGGGCACTTCCTCTCTCCCATATGTTATGGAATGTGGAATAGGAAAACATAGACCTCACACAACCTATAAATTATGTGAGAAATCTTTTAAAGAATTCTGACAAAAAAAGGGATCTAAGGGTGGTTCTAGATAGAAAACTGTCACCTGAGGACCACATTAAGAACATTGTGCAGGGAGCCTATGCTACACTTTCTAACTTCAGAATTGCTTTTAAATACATGGATGGCGAAATACTAAAAAAATTGTTCACGACTTTTGTTAGACCAAAGCTGGAATATGCAGCGGTTGTATGGTGCCCATATCTTAAGAAGCACATAAACAAACTGGAAAAGGTGCAAAGACATGCCACCAAGTGGCTCCCAGAACTGAAGGACAAGAGCTACGAGGAGAGGTTAGAGGCATTAAATATGCAAAAACTAGAAGACAGAAGAAACAGAGGCGATATGATCACTACTTACGAAATAGTAACAGGAATTGATATAATTGATAGGGAAGAATTCCTGAGACCTGGAACTTCAAGAACAAGAGGTCATAGATTTAAACTAACAAAACAAAGCTGCCGGAGAAATATAAGAAAATTCACTTTTGTCAACAGAGTGGTAGACGGTTAAAACAAGTTAGGCAAGAAGGTGGTGGAGGCCAAAACCATCAGTAATTTCAAAGCGTTATATGACAAAGAGTGCTGGGAAGACGGGACACCACAAGCGTAGCTCTTATCCTGTAACTACACTTAGGTAATGACACACACACATACATATACAAGAGTTCTTACATTCTTGTACAGCTACTAGCCTCTCCTCTTAACACTTGTTTTTCAGTTCATTTTGAATTGAAATGACAGAAATGCTACAAGTCATTTTGTTGCAGGCCTTTACACCTTTTCCAGTTTATTGATGTGATTCTTGAGATAAAGGCACCATATAACTGCTGCATATTCCAATTTTAGTCTTGCAGAAGTCATGAACAGTTTCTTCAGTATTTCACCATCCACGTAGTTAAAAGCGAGCCTGAAGTTGGAAAGCTACACATACGCTCTGCGCACAATGTTCTTTGTGTTCCTCTGGTGACACTTTACTATTCAAAACCACCCCTAGATCTTGTTCTTTATTAGAGTTTTTAATTTCTTCCCACTAATTAATGGGGCACCTCACTGATGTCCTTCATATCCATGTTTATCTAATAGGCTGCATTCAGTGTCAGTTTTCCCGAAGAGTGCCCCTAGTTGGATACACACCTTCAGGCTCTGGTAATTTACCCCTTTCCCTCTATTAGGTTCAACTTGGTGGATCAGGAAACCTCCCATCAGCTTTACAGTACTAAATTTACAGTACAGTAATAACCAAAAACCAACTGAGAAAACATTGAGAGAGTACTGTATAAGCACTTTAGGTATTGTTAAGCAGGATCCTGAGATGCCCGGAACATGCTAACAAGTCAGAACAGTCCCTGGTGGTGCAGTGGTAGCACACACGCCCTGAACTTCACAAGAAATTTGACTTGGGTTCATGTCCTGGCCAGGAAGGCTTGACTAGGCACCACTCCTTAACTGTTCACCTCTGTTCACAGCGATTCGGTACCAGTTTGTTAAACAATTTAAGAGTCATATTCCAGGGAAACTAGTGGGTAAGGCTTACCACTGAGCTATGGAATGGGATAGCTATCGCCCTGCAAACAGTCACAGTAAGTACAGTAAGCAGTCGTCCGTTCCTGTAGCCACCTGTGTAAAAAAGAGAGAAAAAGAGAGAGAGAGAGATATATAGAGGGAGGGAGGCAGGGAGGGGAGGAAGGGGGAAGGGGAGGAAGGGGGAAGGGGAGGGAAGGAGGGTAGGGGGGAGAGAGAGAGGAAGGGGAAGGGTGGGATGGAAGGGAGGGAGGGAGGGAGGGAGGAAATGTAAGTGTTATGGGAGTGACTGAGCAGCCTAGATCTATAAACTGAACTTTTGAAGTTGGGAAAATTGACCTCTATAACAGACGTTTTAATTTAAGTACAGTATTTCCATTACACATACTGTAGTTTGATTAATAATACTGCATAATAATTATATTTTGTTGACAGGTTATGCAGAGCTTCAGAAAGTGTTGAAGAAGGCCCTGATCAGAGCTGGTGTTGATGAAAAGGCCACAGTTGTGGTAGTGGGGGATTCAGTGCTTCACCATCCAACAGTCCTACACATGCTGAATACATTAATTCTTACGGGGGATGTGCCCAACTTGCTTCCTCCAGAGGATTACAGCTATTTAATGGAGGTTAGCCTCTAGACAAAATTTACCCTTGGGTGTCATACAGTACATTTACAAGTTTTATAATCTGCATGATTTTTCATTGTTTTGTGAGCTAAGTGTTGCTTATGCCTTAGGGTAATTGCACCAGGCCTCCGAGACTCACTTTACCCTTTGAGGGGAATCTTCTAAGAGGGAGGATTGATTGCTGGGGAAGCACCGGTGTTTGTTTTGTAATTTAGGAAGGATAAACATGCAACATCACCATGAAAATGTGCATGATAGTGAATGACTGTCTGGCAAATGGACAGACAAATCCAAAAGAAGTTACAAAAACAAAGAAGAAATAGTGTAGTGGCACTTGGTGACCAGTGGGACAGGGTAAGGCAGGTACTTGACCTGAGATAAGATTTGGTAAGCAAGTGAGGTAGCCACCCACTCAACCAGCCAAACTTTTTGTGTGGAGAAACTCATTTAAAGTGTAGTGCCCTAATATCCACCAGACAAGGATTAGGTAAACACAAGTCTCTGATCATAACCTGTTCTCCTTCAAATTACGTCTGAATTTGGTCGTTTGCCCGTATGGCTGAAAATGGATGTAATTTGAAACGGAAAATAATTGAAAATAAAATCTGGATATTTTTATCCAAAACAGCAAGTTAAGGGTCCTCTGGTAGGTTAGGAGGGCAGGAAGTTCTCCTAAGGTTTCAAAACGTCATGAAAACCGTTAATTGAAAGTTTCCTCTCCTAATTTAACCGAGTAAGCCGGAGGACTCTAATAGAAAACGGGACAATGCATCACTTTTGTAAGCCGATTTCATTTCAAATTATGTCCATTTCTGGGGGAAGCCCCTACGGCTCCCCGGAGCTATCCCAGGCTGTGGATAAGATTCTAGTTCTATCGCTATTGTTCTTGATAGCGATAGTTGATGTGGGTAGAGTTTTAGGCCTACCTGGGACCACGAGCCAGAACCTGGCCCCCCCCCCTCAGAGAGGCACGAGGAACAATGGCCTATACAAATGCACATGTGATTTTGGAGCATTCTGTATCTGCCATCGACTGGGACATGCACCCAGAATGGTAAGTGCCCCAAAACAAACCCCCTATTCTGGTTAAAACAACGAAAATAGACAAACGAGTGGACAGACCTCCCCATATGAAAACGAGCATGACATCACACGAGCCGCGCCGCATGTCTGCGTAGTTCCCCCGTCCCAGGGAGGTGGAAGGAGGAGCCCCAGACCCCCATGTCGGCTATCCACACCCCTGTTCTTGAGCTAATGTGGTCTGGCAAGGTCGTGTGGCTCCAGCTCCGGACTCTTGTGTTGTGCTGTCCTCTGTTTCAGTACTGCTCTTACAGTGGTGTGCAAGCTGGGAGTAATATTTACAGGTACTTGGGCTGCATGTGCTTAGGGTCACCTTCCCTGAGTGCCCTGTAAGTACTGCCCTTGGGGCTTGGGTTCTCTTCCACAAGTCACCTTGGGACGACCTCTGTTGGTCTTTTGCTGCTTAGCGATTGACTGCCCAGAGTGTTTGGGGGGGGGGGGGGGGTTCCACTCTTGTTTGCCTTGGGGTAAGTGGTAGTTTTTGCACTGGTAGGGGCACGGGGTACTGCGGAGCTAGTTTTCACCCATAACAGTGGCCGGCTCTGTTCCTCTGGGTAAGCTGTCCTCTTGTGAGGTTTTTCTTTTATTTTTTATTTTTTTTTGCCTGGGGGGGGGGGTCTGCCTTGGTGTTCCTTCACCCTGTCATACTAAGATTTGCGTTTGTTTGGTGGTACCCCCTGCTTCGCCCTCGTGAGTGGACACGTCCCGGGGGTTCAGCATTAGCAGTGTTGGTTGGTAGCTTGGGGTGCCGGTTAGCAGTACCCTGCCTGGGATTACCCTCAGCAGACCCAGTCTGGGGGCCCCTTGGAAACCCCGCAGGGGCATTCGGGTCCAGTGGATGCGACTACTGAGTCCCCTCTCGCTTTGTGCGAGTTTCAGGGTTGCTCTGTCCCCTTGTCTCAGGGTGTCGTGCTGCCTGTTGGCCTGCGAGCTTTATTGATTGTTTGTGACTCAATTCTCCCAATCATCCGATGACATTATCTGGGTGTAGGCAACTCGCACGTTGCAGTATAGGTTTAGGTTGTTATAACGTGCTAGGTTGGTTGCTTCTCTGGATGCCCCGAGGCTGCCCCGTTTTGCTTATAGGGACCCGGACTTGGTGATGTTGGTCGCGTCAGCTTTGGTTCGATCTGTGTCCCCTCGTTCCTTCCCTGCTGTGGTTCATTCGGTCCCCCCTCCCTTTCTTCCAGCTTCCAAGCGTCTGAGGGCTTCGGGGTTGGGGCAAGGCTTAGAGGTTTCTGAGACTTGGGCAGTTTCGGGGGTTGCCCCTTCCAGGGTGGCGACAGCGGCATTCGAGTCTGTTCCTCCAGCCGTAGCTCTAGGGTCTGATCAGTGGGCCCACTCTCTTCCTTTTATTTTGGCTACCCCGGCATTTTCTTGTGAGGCCAGGGCTTTGGAGGCGACTCGCCCCCGGGGCCTGATGTGGAGATTCCCGGGGGTTGGGGAGGAGCTGGCTTGAGGCCTTGGGCCACATTGGACCCCGCCTGGGTTTTCAGGCCCTCCGAGTGGGGCTTACTGTTACAAGGAGTGGGGTTTTCCTTTCCCCTCTGCGTACAAATTAGATTTGGGTTCGGCTCCTTCCCAGGTTCAATTCCGTGTTCCTGCATGTCCTTCGGTTCTGTCCTTCCGGAGGTTTTCAGAAGGTTCCGGCGGCCATTGTGGCTTACTTCCTGCGCGACCCGGAGTATGCCTCTATAATGGATCCATCTTCCTTCAAGTTTGGATCTTCGTCTCCATCCTGGGTTCGTTATGAGGTTCCGGGTTCGTACTGGCTTGCGGACTGCCCTTTGTTCTTGCTGGATGTTTGGGACGCCTTTTGTCGTACCCGCACACTTGAGTGGCGTGAGTCGTTGACTGTGGTCCAGGTTTACCTGAGGGGGGGGTCGACCTTGAGCACCTTAACCACTGAACTGCGCCAACCGAGTATTCACGGTCGGTGGGAAACTGCGCCAACCGAGAAAACTCTTCTTGATTTTTTCGTACCCATTCTAAATGTGTGCGCGGTTGGTTGTGTACGAAATAGACTCTTAGGACTTCCAGTAAAAGGCAGCCATCTTGGAAAAAATTCCCAGAATGCCCTAGGGCTGCTGGCTGGGTTAGTACTGAGTGAGCAACCATGGGTGGCGCACGCAGCTCTGGCTCCCAAACATTTGTCTGACGCAATGTTGAAAGATCGCGCTCTGTCGATGAAATTCAAACCTTATTGTTTGAAGAACATATGGGTCATAATATTGGTGAAGCTAGGCACAATAAGGACCTAACACAAAGGTCGGATGCAAGTGATACAGCACCTATGAGGACGATACAGTGAGCTTATCCAGTTGTAGCTCTGAGCGCCACCCTTGCCCACCTATGCTATCTCCAATTTATATAGATGATACATAGATGAATCGTTTTCTGCGTTCAGTAATGATGCATCTGATGCAAGCAGCATAGATGAACAGTGTTAGTGGTTTCCATGGTTGTGTTTTCCATAGATATTTTCAAGAAGAGCTGAATCTTTTCTTGACTGACGGACACTCTTTGAGGCTGGCTGAATCTCTTCCAGACTGACGCACACTCATCGAGGCCGGCTGAATCTCTTCCTGCGTGGGACTTTACAAAGCGATATTTTCATGACTACCTTACAAGTTGATCCATTCCTATAATCTTTTCAAGACTACCTTATGCTTTAAAAGCTTGGCTACATACCACCTACAGGTACTAAAGCCAAGGGCGTATGTGAGTGCGTTATTTGCAAGCACACAGAAGGAAGAAACAGGAAGTGAAAACCTATCTGTACTTGGTGCAACGAGAGCGAAGTTGCGCTGTGTACCATTGGCTACATTGTTGATTATTACTCACTTCCAAAGTACTGAGTGTGTAATACCATGTGTTACTGTGTAAATAGTATGTGAAACTGGACATATTGTAAGTTTAGTGAATTTTTAACAAGTAATATTGCGACAATAAACATTTATTGTGGACACATTAATGACACGTGTATCACAGTTCCATGGAACATTATGAACGTTCTACTGTATACATATTGTAAAGGACACAAATATGCATCATATATGATAAAAAACACAAATAAAACTACATTGGATATACACAGAACAAATAATTGAAAATATATTTGTGGCAACACCCTCTGCTTGAATCGCCCGCTCAACCGTGTCTGGGCGTGTCACGCACGGGCGACCAGGCCCTGATGACGTCACAGCGCACCTTGTCCACGTCCCCCACAGCCAAAGTAAGTGGAATTTGGTATTTATTTTTACATAGACATGTTCAGGGAAGAAAATTTATCATTTTACGAAGAAAAAATTTATTTTTGGGAACACACGATTTCATGCACACGGGGGAATTTCACAATAAACTTAGTGCATCACAATTGTTAATGACTGGCTTTATGCTCCAGCCCTTCTGCGGGATGTTGGCGCAGTTCAGCTTCACGTGCAGGTTCCTTCCCTGTCAGCTGTGCTTGTGGCTGAGGACTTGTGCACGTGTGGTGTGTTTGCTTCGGTCCTGCGTTTCTTTTCCCTCTTGGAGATGTCTTTGGATTGGCTTAGGGAGGATGTAGAGGCGCTTGGGGCTGTTCCAGGATCTGGCACCTTAGTCTCGGCTGCTCTTGTGTCATCTGCACTTTTGAAGCTGTTTGTGCCGATCAAGCGGGATGCGCTGTCGCGGTGTTTCAAGGCGCGTCTCATGTGTCAAGAGGTGGTGCTCGCTTCCTTCTTGGAATTCGCTTGGGCCCTGGCTCTTAAATTGTCTTTGCCCTTTGGTCCTTTGCTGTTTGCGGTCAAGTGGTATATGCAAGCAGCTTCTTCCAGCTGCTGCCCGATGTCTGACTTGTTGGTTCTCTGGGGGTACCAGTTGGGTTCATCCCAGAGGGGTCATGCCAGGGGGCACGGTTCTGCTCGTCATGGTAGGCCACAGGTGCCAGTCTCGAAGCCGGTGCCACCTTTGGTCCCAGCTGCACTTGGTCAGCGTAGTGCTCCCTCTGTGCGCAGGTCGGGTTCTCGTAAGGGGCATCGGCCTTTTTGCGGTTCGCCTCATTGACGGGGTGATGGGGGAAGGCTTGCTCTGTTCACTCACACCTGGTCTCATGATTTGTGGGTGGGCTTTTCGGGTCATTTCTCGTGGCCTGCGGTGTCGTTGGTAGGCCCCTTCTCCTTTGGGGAGTTCGAGACTGGCAAAGCAGGCCTCTTTTCCTGCGCTTTGTCAGGTCATCTTGGAGTGGGTTCGCTTGGGTGTGGTCAAAATGACGACGTCTCTCAGGTGGGTTTCCCTCCTGTTTCCAGTTCCGAAACAAGACTGTGCGGACCTGCGGTTCATTCTGGGCTTGTCCCATCTGAACCCCTGGGTTCTTGCCCCTCTTTTCGCATGACCACTCTGTCCCAGGTCTGGTTTCTGTTGGAGCCGGGCGCTTGGGTGGTGTCCCTGAACCTCAAGGATGTGTATTGATACGTCCCGATTCCTCCGGGGTTCAGGGACTGGCTCAGTTTTGTCGTGAGGCGTCAGAGTTACCGCTTTCGTTGTCTCCCATTTGGCTTGAACCTGACACCTCGCGTGTTCGAGTCCGTGGGGTTTGTTTTGTTATGCTTACCTTTCTGGATGCCTAACCCCTGTCGATGGCAGATAAGGAAAACCCCCAACCACAAGGGGTTTTCCAGGGCCATTCCTTCCTGAAACCTCTTTGAAAGGTCTAGGTTCTGGTGCTAGTCCCTGGTAGGTCTGAACTCCATAGCTAATGTCCCGGTCTAATATGACATACATTAGCCCAATAAGCTCCAGGGAGCCTCTGGGGCTCACCCAAAAAATGGCGTTTCATTACATTCAACGTTGGTTTTCTGGGGGGAGCCCCTACGGCTCCCCGGAGCTATCCATGGCTGATATGGATACCCTAACTATTTTGCATCAGTCGATGTGGGTGGAGTTCTAGGCCTACTGGGGACCACGAGCCAGAACCTGGCCCCCCTCAAAGAGGCACGGGGAGCAATGGCCCATAGAAATGCACATGTGATTTGGAGCATTCTATATCTGCCATCGACTGGGACAGGCACCCAGAAAGGTAAGCGCCACAAAACAAACCCCTATTCTGGTTAAACAACAAAAATCGACAAACGAGTGGACAGAACTCCCCCAGGAAAACGAACTAACAAGCATGACGTCACGCGAGCCGCACCGCATGTCTGCGCAGCTCCCCCCTCCCCGGGAGGGAGAAGGGGGAGTCCCAGACCCCCGTGCCGGCGATCCCTGCCCCAGTTCCTCGGCTGATGGGATCATGCACAGTCGTGTGGCTCCAGCTCCAGTCTTGTTTCGGTGCTGTGACTTGTTTGCAGTGCTGCTCTTACGGTGGTCGTGTGAGCTGGGAGTAGTATTCTCAGGTACTCGGGCTGCATGTGCTTAGGATCACCTTCCCTGAGTGCCCTGTAAGTACCGCCCTTGGGGCTTGGGGTTACCTTCCACAAGTCACCTTGGGTCTACCTCTGTTGGCTTTTCGCTGCTTGGCGTTTGGCCGCCCCGAGGGTTTGGGGGTTTCACTCCCTTGTTTACCTTGAGGTAAGTGGTAGTTATCGCACTGGTGAGGCGCAGGGTACTGCGTAGCTAGTTTTCACCTATGACAGCGGCCGGCTCTGTTCCCTCTGGGTATGTTGTCCACTTGTGTGGTTTTTTCTTTTATTTTTGTTTTTGCCTGGTAGGGGGGTCTTCCTTGTGTTTCCCCCCCCCCCTTATATTAGGTTCATTTGCGGTGGCACCCCCTGCTTTGCCCTCGCGAGTGGACACGTCCCGTGGGTTCAGCTTTAGCAGCTTGCTTGGTAGTTTGATTCAACTCAATCCCCACTTAGTAGTGGGGATTCAATTTGTTGGTGTGGGTACCAGACCAACTCCACAGCGTCAGCTGGGGCTGCCACTGCTGGCATGGCGTTGAAATGTGTTGCTTTCACTTGATCAATCGTAACCACCACTTCAGCACCCCGACGGTCAAGAGTAATGGTTTTCGGAGTTCTCGACAGCACCTAGAAAGGTCCCTCGTATGGCTGCTGTAGTGGCTGACGCACAGCATCAACCCTCAGAAACACATGGGCTAGCAGAAGCAGTAAGAACGTCCTGGGTATGTTGGTAGGGCGTGTAGATGGGTGATGGGCGGCGAAGGGCGGATCTGCGACATCGCCCTCCGAAACTGCTCAATGGAAGGCCGACGTGTCCTTCAGCTCATTGTATAGTGGTGGAGTGATAAGAGCACCAGGAAGGCGGAGATTGAAACCATACACCAGGTCAATCTCTGAGTTGTCCTGTACAACTGTCAGTTGTACAACTGTCCTCTTTAGTTGCTGAACGGATGAGGAGGAGTACTAAAGGAAGGTTGTCAGTCCATGAAGTCAAGTCTAGTTGTGCCCTTAGAGCCGACTTCAGTTGGCGGTGAAAACGTTCAACTATCCCATTAGCCTGAGGATGGTAGGCTGTAGTTTGGTTGTGTGTGGTACCCAGGAACCGCAAGAATTCTCTCCACAAGTGAGACTCAAATTGTCGACCCTGGACAGTGACAATCGTTGCAGGGGCTTCAAAACGGGAGACCCGAACTACTGATTCAGCTGTCATCTCCACCATAGGAACTGCCTCGGGCCATCTGGAGAAGCGGTCAACACACACGAGTAGGTATGAGCACCCACCAGATGAGGAAATGGACTGACAATATCCACATGCACCACCACAAATCTGGCCAATGGTAACGGAAAGTTCTGAAGAGGCGTCTGTGTGTGTCGATGTATCCTTGACTGCTGACCTTGGAGGCAGTTGCGACCCCAACTTAGAACTTTTGTATTAATTCCTGGCTATACTTTGCATCATCTGCAAACATACTCATATAGCTCTGAATCTCCTCTAGTAGATTGTTTATATAGATAATGAATATTGCTGGTGCTAGAACTGAATCCTGTTGTAATAAATAATAGACTCCTTTAATTAATGCTTGTGTAACTACTAATCGAAAAATAGTAATTCTTTCATCTTCTTAAAATATAATAACAGATACAGATAATCTTAAATAACATTATTAGAGCTAAGCATCTTTTAACTATAATTAATTTTTCAACACAAGTATCTTTCTAGCGTCTTCGTTTGTCTACGGAAGACCGTAAAGTGAGTGAAGCAGACTTGTGGAAGGAGCAAATGCAACGTGTAGCGGACCTGGTACATATAGTGGTGATGTGTCCCCCTTCTGCTGTGCTTCGCCACATCCTCACCCACTACACTGCTTTTGCAACTCGTGTCACCATGGATTACTTTAAAGTGAGTCATTCATCAATGGTTATCCTGTTGGTTTGTTCCTATAATTCATCAGTGGTTGTTATCCTGTGGGCTGAGTCCCTTGATTCATCTGTTAAATTGTGACTATCTTGTAGGGTGGAATTCCTTCTGAGGAATAAGACACAAATATTAAATAAAGATGAATAGTAGAAGAACTAAATGTAAAAGAGCTCATAGACTGTGTAGGGATTGGAAAATGCAAGCCAAGAAAATGCTTGCCTTTAAGATAATATACAGTAATACAATGACAGTAAAGCTAGATAATCATGAAAGTAAAACCTCTTAGATTTGAAGCATGTAACAAAAATAATGAAAATCATTTCCTTTACTCAAGAGACATCAAGGACAAAATGAGTGCAAGAGTAACATTACTGGCAAATCTCACATGAACTACTGAATTCATAAAATCCCATTTAATATAGAAATATTTATAGTAGATATTTGATTAGGAACTGTAAATACAATATTTATAAATGCATGCATTTCACTTATAGATGAGAGATGAATACAGTAATGTAACAGAGGGGCTACTCAGCATATGAACATGAAACGTGAAAATATGGACGTCTTCAAGAGAAAATTGTATAGTTTTCTTCAAGAAGTGAAGACGACACTTTACTTCTCAAGTTCTTTGAAATCAAAATACGTGCAAAACTTGTTTAATATGTTGATCGTGTCAAGTTTTGTGTAATATGTGTTACACAAATACATGTCGTAGATATGATTGAGGAAAAGAGGTTGGTAGTCAGTACATTGATTAGAAAGATAGGGTCCAAAATCTAACAGCTCGATCCTGCAGGCACAAACAGTAAATAGTACTCTATAATGATAAAGAGTAAAATGCACTATATGTCTTAGTTTCATAAAAATGTACAAATTACTTTGTATATGAATAAATTATAATGCATATATATAATATTTGAAGCCATGGCCACAAGAAGCTCTTGTTAAAGTTGGTGAGCATTATCTGGCAGAAGTTCCACTAAGAAGATCAATTAGGGATGCTGTTATCTCTGCTGCAACCGCTGCACATCAAATGGCCAGGTAGGTAAAGTTTGTTGCCTTCCCATAAGCTCAGCTATTTTTCTGAGTTACCCCATTAGGTTGCCCTTTAAAGTAAAATCTTAGAAATAGATTGCCCTTTAAGGTAAAATCTTAGAAGTCTTAGAAAAAATTAACAAATATCAACTAATACTATCAGGTGAATTTAATTTTGACCTCTGCCAGCCTCATAACCCTCAAGTTAATAGTTTTCTCAACTGTCGGCTCCCTGACACTATCATATTGATTGTCATACTATTTGAGTGTCATCAGTCGCGGAGTTCTTTTTGCCTACCGGGCTGGAGCTAACTAGCAGGAAGCTGGTTGGATGAAGTTTTGGTTGTTTTCTTATGGGGGAGCTACTTTTGACATTTTGTGGACTGAGGTCTAATTTTAAATGATGCAGTGGGTTGTTTTGATTTGCCTACCTTTCTGGGTACTTCCGTGGATGATAGCAGAGATGGTAGACTTTAAATGTAAAGTATTCATGGACACCCTACACCTCTCTGAGGGGACCGGGTTCTGGCTCATGGCTTCTGGTAGGCAAAAAGAACTCTGCGACTGATGACATTCAAGTAGTATGGTACTTAATCAGCATGATAGCTTCAGGGAGCATTGGACCTCACCCAGAAATTGGCATTTCATTACTTTCAACACTGAATTTTTCTGATGGGAGCCCCTATGGCTCCCTGGAGCTTATTAGGCTAATGTATGTTATATTAGACCGGGACATTAGCTATGGAGATCAAACCTACCAGGGACCATGAGCCAGAACCTGGCCCTTCAGAGAGGTTTCATGGAGCAATGGCCCTGGAAAGCCCCCCCTGTGGTTGGGGGTTTTTCCTTATCTGCCATTGACCGGGGTTAGGCACCCAGAAAGGTAGACATAACAAAATACCCCACATGGTAAGAAACTAACAACAAAAACCGAACAGAGATAGAACTCCCTGCAATAACAAGGAAACATAACCATACTGCCGTGCTGCTCATCCGCGCAGCCCTCCCCTCCCCGAGAGGGGCAGGGGGGGGGGTCCTGGACCTCACCGCGCCAGCTACATAGCACTCCTGTTTGTAAGCTAATCTCATCCGGGACAGACGCTTCTCTGGCCTCAGTTTCCTAGGTGGTGTTTGCCTTCGTGACGCTCACTGCCGTGTTTTGTGTTGTGCGGTGGCCAGGTGTTCCTCATCAGTACCAGAGCTGCATGTGCTTAGGGGCTTCCTTCCCTAAGTGCCCTGTGAGTACTGCCCCTGTGTGACAGGGTTATCTTCCCTGGGGCATTCGGGAGCCATTCCCACAGAGGTTCTTGCTGCTCGGCATTTGCCTAGCCTTTGGGGCCAGCTGGGGTTTTGGACGTTTGCAGCTTTCGCTGCTGTTTTGGTAACTTGTCTTGGGCTCATTTTGGGCACGGGGATTTGGAGGTCGCACAGGTCCCTGGCCACCTGTTATTTTGTGAGCGTGTCTGCTCGTGGGCATTCTTGTGTTGCTTTGGGTCATAGGTTGCAGCCTGTTTTCTCGACTTCGCGTTGCGGAGTTTGTGGCGGCCGCCTCCCGGGTCAGTCCTTTCTTTTCCTTCTCTTTGTGTATGTAGCACCAGGGAGCTGTAGAGGCTCCCCTCAGAAAACCAGCGTTGAATGTAATAAAACGCCATTTTCTGGGTGAGCCCCTGAGACTCCCTGGCGACTCTTCCTCCCACTGGTCGACGGGTTTTTTCACGTTTGTTGAAGCTTAGCTTCCGAACTGGAGTGCTATGCAGCTGGCGTGGGGTTTGTTTTGTTATGCCTACCTTTCTGGGTGCCTAACCCCGGTCGATGGCAGATAAGGTAAACCCCCAACCACGGGGGAAGGGTTCCCAGGGCCATTGCTCCCTGAAACCTCTGAAGGGGCCAGGTTCTAGCGCTGGTCCCTGATAGGTCTGAACTCCATAGCTTATGTCCCAGTCTAATATAACATACATTAGTCCGATAAGCTCCAGGAAGCCTCTGGGGCTCACCCAGAAAATGGCGTTTCATTACATTCAACACTGATTTTTTTAAGGCTCTGCAGTATTAGTGTATAATAATAACCCAACATTGGCTTTACCTCATCAATTTTATATAGTTCTGTCTTTTGCATTTTCAATTGCCTTTTTTATGATACTGCCACAATACAACTTACTCATGTTTTGCATCTTTCCTGGAAGAAGTGTCCATTGATTGATTTTAGAATTAGAATCCATTACTGCAAGATGAAGATGAAAAAATCATTTTATCACAAAAATTAGTTTGAATCAGAGTACTGGTAATAGTTGATAGCAGCTTAAACTGTAAAAGATTTATAAATAATGTTACTTTGAGTATGATGAAGATATGAAATTTGCTTTCGGTGTTTGTGGTTTAGAAGTGGGTTTCTCTTTGTGTAATAATCATCAGCAAAGAATCTCTTCTGTAGGCAGGTGTCAGACCAGATAATAGCTGAAGGAAAATGGTGTCTTCCAGTGACTCCTGCCTTGTATCTGCACCTTCTGCAAGAGTTTCGTGGTATGTTTACCAACCGCCAGGCTCACACTGCTTCCCTCAAAAAGAAGTATCTCTCTGGGCTGGATAAATTAGCTTTTGCTGCTTCTCAGGTAAAATTTCTGATATATCTTTTGTTTGAATGTACTGTAATTCTTATTGTTTATAGGTTTGTAACCTTGTATTACATTTTGTGTAGGAATATCTATTTTAGTTGTGTCAGCAGTTATACTCGAGGTGTTCTATCTACTTTATATTTTACTATAAAGCATAATTAAACCTTTTAAGTTGTTTGACATTTTGGAGTTTTTCAGATAATTATCACCTGATAGATACAGCACAGGTTTTGTTTCTTGCGGGCTTCACATTGATTTGATTAGGGTCTTGGTTAATGTACAACATTCCTTTACTCAGTCATCATACTACTTCTGTGTGTTATACTGTAGTCATAATGGCTTATGGAGTAATCCTGACAATAACTTTACCTCCTTATATAAGAATCCCAGTGTCAAATGTAATGAAATGCCTCTTTCTGGATTAGCCCCAGTGGCTCACTGAAGTTATGTTGCTGATTACTGTACTGTATATAAATTGGCCACGTTAAACATGGAAGTTCTGTTTGGCCTACCAGGGATCAGACCCAGAACCTGTCCTCCCTCAGAGTCAGAGAGAGAGTGACAATTTGCCACCACACCAGGAAAGCATCCAGAAAGTCGGTGAAGCTTTACAACTTGAATTCCTTGGCATTCTCATTGACCACAAGCTGAATTTCCAGGAACACATTCTAAATATATCAAAAAAAATTTCAAAAACTGTGGGCATTCTTTCTAAGATCAGATATTATGTACCACGCCCTGTCCTGGTGACTCTCTATTACTCCCTTATCTATCCATATCTCAACTATGGTATTTGTGCTTGGGGCTCTACTACCCAAAATCACTTACGTCCTCTAATTACTCAACACAAAGCTGCTATTAGGACAATATCCAACTCTGGCCCCAGACATCACTCGGTACCCCTACTCAAATCTCTGAATATGTTAGACATTAAGTCTCTGCACATTCTCTCATGTGTATTATACATATATAAAACGCTAAACTATAATGCCAATCCTGATCTCAAAAGCTTCATAGAAGGTTGTAACAGAACCCATGAGCACCACACCAGAAATAAATAAAGTTTTGATATTCCTAGAGTACGACTTAATCAAACTAGAAATGCTCTACAAATCAAGGGGCCCAGAATGTGGAATGACCTTCCCGACCATGTTAAAGACTGTACCTCTCTCAACCAGTTTAAGTTAAAAACGAAGCTATACCTAATAAATTCCATGTAACCTACCTTACCCTTCTATTGTCAACCAATGTCTGTTTTTCTTTAAAGAGCGCTGTTTGTCGACATATTTGTATTTGTGCTGCTTTTTCATCTATGTTTTCATTTCTTGTTTTCATCTACTCATTATGCTCAATTAGTATTAAGCTTGTCATTTAAGTTTATCATGCCCGAAACGCTTTGCGTAATAGTGGCTTTAGGCATTGTATGTACTAGCTCTACCTATAAGTCAACCAATCTATGTAAAAATTTATTGTATGTATGTACCTTACCTAAATAAAATATTATTATTATTATTATTATTATTGAAGGTTAACAATAACCGAAGCCTCGAAATTCCCAAACAACTCCTCAGGCGATTTACATAGAACAAGAGAAACATTCAGAATTAGCATGAAACACAGTATCGAATACCCCCACCAGGTGACCCATCTTCCGCATGAACTGGCCACTGACAAACTAACTAACCTGGTAGGGAGGGAGGAAGCCTAGGAGCTACCAGGGCTCATTGAGAAAAAGGAGTTTCATTACTTTCAGTGCTGCATTTCTGGGGAAGCCTCCAGTAGCTCCCTGAAGCTAAATACAAAGAATAAAAATGGGACTTTCCATGGAGAAAGAGAGATGGCATGCACTAGGACAAAGAAGAGCAACCAAGCCAAGCCCAATACAACACATGACAAACTGGGACCAGGGACATGAATAAAATACTGGGCCGCCAGAACCCTGTTTGAACTCCAAAACTCGCTAGCCTGAATATCCAACCAGGACATCTTGGAGAAGGCTGTGACCAATACAGCATACTTTTGATCATCATTGGCATGAGGGTAGCTGTCACAACTGAATGAAAAATGACATGTTGGATAAGAAGAACCTCTCAAACAAGATACCACACCAGTGATGATACTTTTCAAGTCACTAGTGCTCTTTAGAGTGGAATACTGTTACACAGTGACAATCCCATTCAAGTCTAGAGAAATTGCTGACCTGATGAGCGTGCAAAGTTCTTATACTGCTAGAATCCATACTTTTAATAAAACATCTAAATTATTGGGACCGTTTAAAAATATTAAATCTGTATTCCCTGGAGTGCAGGCAGAAGAGATACATAATAATTTACACTTTGAAAATACTAGGGCTGGTTCCAAATCTGTGCATAATAACAACACTACATGAGACCAGAAGACATGGCAGGATATGCAAAATAGCCCCATTGAAAACCAGAGGTGCAATAGGCATGCTGAGAGAGAACTCTATCAGCATCAGGGGCCCAAGACCTTTCAAAACCCCCTCTACACATATGGGACATGACTGGTTAATCTCTTGGCCAGTCATGTCCTATATAACTGTTTGGGACATGACTGGCCCAAACAGCCATACAGTCATGTTCAGAGCCATTATACTTATGGTATCTAGTAGTATGGCAATGAATCAGAATAATAGCTTCAGGGAGCCTCCAGGACTCGCCTAGATATTGGCATTTCATTACCCTCAACTCTGGTTTATTTATTTATATTTTTTTTAATTTGTCAGTGTTTCTAAGTACATATGTTGAATTTTGTATTAGAAAATGTTCATGCTTCTGTGTGTGTAAAGTTTTCTGGCTCACTTTTGTGAGGGAAGTGTCCCTGCACCCAAAGAGACAGAGCGTCATGACATAATAGGATCAGGGTGTGTGTTATTGGGTGCGCTGTGAGGTGCCCAACCTCACTGTGAGGGTATTTACCTTGGTTTTCTGTGTGGCAGGAGTACAGTAATCAATCTGGTGAGTGAAAATATTCCCTGATGTATTATGTCCCATCCCTGTGTCTCCTAATAAATGTAATGTGCGCCCACTATTCTTTTGGTGAAATCCTGTCAGTTCAAATAGTTGTAACGGCTACTTAAGTGTTCCCTCTCGGTTGAGGTATTTCTTTATCATTTTCATTTTGTTGTGTACAGTATTTCCAATTTAAAATAATGTACATATACTGCAAGTAAGGAAGTGAGGAGGATCTGTTTGATGTTTAATATTGAGTTATTAAGAATAAATGATTTTGCATCATCCCTCCTCTCCCCTCTTACACAGTCACTTAGAAATGCCAAAGTAACCAGTGAGTATCATTTAGGAATGCTGAAAGTAGCCAGCGAGTTTCCCACCAGGCAAAATGGTGATCAACTTGCCAGAAGTAATGTGTCCAACACAATGTAGTGGTTCAGTGACATGTAATAATCTGTACAGACCATGGCCTCTCCCCTCTCCCTTTTCTCCCCTCCCTCCTCCTTCCCTTCCTCTTGTCCTTGTTCATTCGCCTCCTCCCCTGTTGATTCGTTCCCCTTCCCTTTTCCCTTCCCCTGTTGTCGAGCCCATTCCATTGCCATAAAAGTTTTGGGGTAAGGTGTCCTTCCTGGGAAAACACCACAGTCCAGTCCTCTGCTAATCCTTGGCACAATCCTATTCTCTAATCCCTCCCTCTAATCTTTGCCACTAGCCCCTCTTTTCCAATCCCTCTTCTCCTCACTTCCCTGTCCCCCTCCATGACCATTGACAAATTCAGAGCCATTAAAATATAGTCTTAGATTTCGCCTCGGTGCCATAAACTCGGCCTACAGCCAGCGTCTTGGACCTCGGACACCAGGTTCTGGGAACGAGGGCGTGGGAACTTTTGAAGATTTCTGTCAAGGGAAACAGAGTCTTAAGGACATGCCTATTCCTAGCCTGGTACTTGATTGGTTGAGGCCATGGAAGCCTAGGAGGCGTGGTCACGCTCTTGGATCTTGTTGGCTTAGGACTCAAGAGGCGTAGTCCCCCAGGGTAGTGCCTTGTCACCCATTGGCTGGGCCCTCAGGCCTAGAGCAAGGCTTCAAATCCATTGGCTATACGCTTGGAAAGGCGGGGTTAATTGGACCTAAGGAATTTAGAAATGGGTGAAGTTTGGTTCCACTGGTAGCTTGTTAAGTAAAATAAAGTTAGTGTGTCTTGTGGATTCAACTGGGGTACAGCTCTCCTGATCTGTAGGGCAAGCCATTCAACATCATTGGCGGATTGCAACATTAAGGTAAAGTGTGCTGTAGTGTTCATGTACATCATTATTACATTCTGTTTGCCTCTAAGGATATGTTAGTAAAGTAGGATATATTTTCAATGTTGATTTCAATATACGTGTTTCAATAAAATAAAGTGTATTAATTTCAATTGTGTTTAGTTATCTGTTCCCCCCCCCCCTTTTTTTGTTATTAATGCAGATTCATGATTATTTGTGTGGTATTTGGAAAAATTCCCCCCCGTGTTCTTCTCCATTTCATGGACATTAGAGCTACCCTTAAATCCTCAATAAGTAAAGTAAAAATAGAATTCAGCCTCGAAGCATTAAGCCTTATTACCCAGATTCCTATACTCCTTGAGTTCATGATTATTGAGTTCTTTCCTTCCTGGGAGGTCAATAAGATACACATTCAGGTATGTTAGCAGAAAGGGGGTGGCAGTGTTTTAATGAATTTTTATTCCTTAATTTTAAATTAATAAACCCATCATTCTTGCTGCTTCCCCCATTTAATATTTCAGAGTTAATAAGTAGCTGTAGTTCATTGGGGGTCACATTGATCTGCAAGCAGTATTAAGCTGAGGTGTTGAGTGGGAAAAGGGTGAAGAGCAGGTCGGGTTATTACACACAAACGCTCTGAATACACCGCAAACCTTCTCTAACACCATTCGACAATCACCGGTATACGATGTCACACTCGACGAGTCTAGTTCCAACTCTCACACAAGACACTACAGCCTCACAACAGAGCAGACGGCGTTTCCGGCATTATTTGAGCTACCTACTCTCCCTTTATTCGAGATCTCCGATTCCGCTCTCTTTTGAGCTCTATTCTCTCCGCTTCCTTCGAGCTCTATCCTTGTCCATGCTCAAGCTCTCAGCTCTCAGCTCCAGGCCTCACACAAGCTTTGTGCTATATCTCCAGCCACCATCAGCATTACGTCCTACCTGAATCTGTCATTAGCATGTGAGAAGCATCCTCATCTCAACGTACCATGACATGTCATTTCATTTCTAACATCTGACTGCTGTAACCAAGACTATTAAATAAACATAAAAAATCACTGTATTCTTTGAATGCTGTCACCCAAAATCATGTACTTTACACATCCTTCTACTGAAGTTCTCAGCTGTCCATCTTCATTCATATTGCACCAAGTTGGTACCTTGCCTCAACAGATGTGATTTTGTTCCTGTGTAACATCGGCTGCCATCTGGTGGTAAAACACATCACAGTTGGGTGTTTGGACTACATCACCAGCTATTTGTCTTATGCCCTCTGAGTATGTAACTGTCTTCAAGTAATTGCTTGTTTTGTCTTATGTTTTCTGGGTTTTTTAATTTTTTATTAACCTTGAAAATCCATGCTCCCCTTGCCTCATAAAGCCAGGTTCTGATTCTGGCTACCGTTAGGTTAGAATTTTTCCTCATTGCTTGGCATAATCCTTAGGCATAGTGGTACCAGAATATAAGCATCAAGAATTAACTGAGGAACCACCAGAAATTAGCATGAATTTTTATATGTATTGCATTATCTTTGGTTTCCTCCTTGTTAAATTACATGTATTTTTAGCTGATCTACTTAAAACTATATTTTCTTGTCTCACCAGATATCAGTGATGCAGGAGATGTTGGCTTCACTTGGTCCCCAGATTGAAGAAGCCTCTCAGGATGTTTCCAAAATGATGGAACTTATTGAGCAGGTCAGCCAAATGTGTGTGTGTTAATATTACTTAAGTTACTCCAGACTGTACCTCATAAATTATCTGCACAAACAACTGTCTTTGTTAATACATGTATAAATTTTGCTTGAATCATAGTGGCTCGTCTTTAGTTGTTGGGGATTTGTTATTTAGCCTACCTCAATGACTGGCTGGTGGGAGCTCCCAGGTAGTTCATATGTCTGCTAGCCAGGGATATGGTTCTTTTCCACCTCGCCGGGTTTGGGTTCCTGGTGAACTGACAAAAGTCCCAGTTGCTTCTGTCCCAGGTCAGGGACAGACGGCGATGTTCTGACAGGACGATGGGGGGGGGGGGGGGGTTGTGCGAAAGTCTGAACTTTGCAGTGATGGTTTACCCACCGGGCCGGGTTTGGCTTCGTAGGCTGTTCTGGTTTCTTTGGGGACGTCCCTTCAGCCTCTCCAGCTATCGCTAGGTTCGTTCTCCAAGTGGCTTACGTCGCATCGCCAGCTTCCTCTTTAAGCTTTTTGGGGTTCAGTGCCTTGGCTCCTACCCAAGCCCTCGCTCTGTGTGTTCACGGATGCGTCGTCTCTTGGCTGGGGCTTTGTGACCAGTGCTCACCAGGCCGGCCAGGGGCGGTGGGGTCCATCCTGACATGCTCACCAGGCCGGCCAGGGGCGGTGGGGTCCATCCTTCTGTCAGGCCTCAGCACTATGCGGGAGCTCACATGTTTGTGGATGTCACTTCAGAGGGTTTGGGTCGCTCGCGGATTGTTTGTTCTTGCTCAAATTCGGATTGCTCCCTGGTGGTTCAGTGCCTGAACCGCGGGCGTTCAATGCAGTCCTTGGCTCTTTGGGGCTGGTCGCTTCGGGTGACTCGTCTGCTGAGTTCTCAGGGTTTGGCTCTCCTGGCCATTCACGTTCGGGGTATGTCCAACGTCCTGGCAGATGGCCTGTCAAAGTTCATTCCGCTGTCCACGGAATGGACGATTGACTCCGACTCGTTCAGTTGGCTCTGCCAGACGTACTGGCTCCCAGAGATAGACCCCTTCACGTCAGCGTGGTCGAGGTGTCTCCCGATATATGTAATGCCCTTCCCCGACTGTGAGAGCCGTCGGGGTCGATGCCTTCAAGCAGGACTGGTCGAGGTGGAGTTACCTATACCTCTTACCCCCAGTTCCACTGTTGCTCCAGGTTCTGGCTCGTTTGGAGACTTACCAGGGAAGAGTAGTCCTTTTGGCCCCTTGGTGGCCAGCCCAGCCTTTGTTTCGGGCACTGTTTGCTCGGTGTCTGAACCTGGGGGTCTTCCCGCGGCTCCGCCTCTTTCAGCAGATCGGGCCAGATTGTTATGTAGCTGGTTCAATCTTCTCCTCAAGTCTTTGTGTCTGGTCTTTCTAATGCGGGTCTGTCACCTGCATGCTTCGTTGATGGTGTCCCACCTGCATGCTTCGTCTTGGCGACAGTATGAATTTTCCTAGCATTCCTTTCATTATTTCTTGTCCCTCCGTAGCATTTCTTGTTTCGGATCGGGATGTCTTGTCCTTCATCTCTTGGTTGTTTCAGGACCGTCAACTTATGCCGAATACTGTCGCCTTGTGTTATGCAGCGCTGGCAGAGCCGCTTCAGCTTACGTTCGGGGTGGATGTTACTTTGGCTCCGTTCCACAAGCTGTCTCGTGCATTGTTTTACCTCTGGCCTGCTCGTGCACTGCCTGAGCCATCCTGGTCGTTGGACCGGGTGCTCTCTTCTCTCTCTTCTCCTCAGTTTGTTGTGGCCCCTTTGGTTCAAGATTCTTTTGCACAGACTCATTTCCTGTTGGCATTGGCTTCTGAGGGTTGGGTCAGGGAGCTTTATGCTCTCCACCAGTGCAGAGGTTTCAATTCTTTTGCTCCTGATGGTAGGTTTGTTCCTTTGCAGCCGTCTCCTTCTTTTCTGGCGAAGGAGGAGACAGTTGCTTTCCGGAGGGTCCTTGGGTTGTTGATGCTCGGTTGGTTTGGCTGGGGGGTGTATCATGTGTTGTGTCCTGTTGCTGCTCTCCACTGTTACCTACATGCCACAGACTTGGTGGCCTGGGACTCACTCTTGGTGGACCCGATTTCCCTTCTTCCCTGTTCTAGAGTTCAGGTATCCTAGGTCGTCCACAGGGTTATTCAATCCAGCCAGCCTGCAGTTTATCCTCATGCCCATGATGTTCGTAAGCTTGCTGCATTGGCTGCTGTCTTTGGTAATATGTCTTGGGCTGATATTCTGACGTGAGTTTTTTTGAGGGTGAACAAGGTTCTTCCCGCTCGGTACCTAGTCATTGTTCCTGGACCTAGTCGGGCATGTGTCGCATTGGGTCGGCGGTTTCAGCCAGTTGTCTCAACTTCGAGTTGAGGAGTGAGTGGCGACCACCTCCCGGGTAAGCCTCTCTTGTTTTATTTTTGGTTAAGTAGCTCCGGGGAGCCGAAGGGGCTCCGGGGAGCCGAAGGGGCTCCCCTCAGAAAACCAGTGTTGAATGCAATGAAAAGCCATTTTCTGGGTCAGACCCGGAGGCTCCCCATCAACCCTCCCAACCTACAGTCAGCAGTTTTTGCTGTTTTTTTGACATCCAGCTTCTGAACTGGGGGTCAATAGCCAGCACGGCGGGGTCTAGAGTGCCCCCTTCCCCCTCCGAGGGAGGGGGAAGCCGGCACGGTGGGGTCTAGAGTACCCCCTTCCCCCACCCAGGGAGGGGGAGGGGAGCTACACAGACAGCAACGCAGTGATGGTTGTGACGTCATGCTCATTTGCTCATTTTTAGTTTGGGGAGTTCTGTCCAACAGTTCGGCTTTCAGTAGCAATTTTTAACCAGATAGGGTTTGTTTTGGGGCACCTACCTTTCTGGGTGCCTGACCTGGTCGATAGCAGACATTTTTCTGAGATATACAAGAGTTGTTATATTCTTGTACAGCCACTAGTATGTGTAGCGTTTCAGGCAAGTCCCTGGAATACGACCCCCACGAAGAATCGTTTTTACAACCAAGTACCCATTTTACTGTTGAGTTAAACAGAGGCTACAGTTAAGGATTTGCGCCCAGTAAATCCTCCCTGGCCAGGATACGAACCCATGACAAAGCGCTTGCGGAACGCCAGGTGAGCGTCTTACCACTACACCATGGAGACTGGTGACATAGAATGCTTCCAACCGCATGGCGGTTTCTATAGGCCATTGCGCCTTGTGCCTCTCTTGGGGGGGGGGGGGGGCAAAGTTCTGGCTCATGGTCCCTGGTAGGCCTAAAACTCCATTTGCTTGACTAATTCCAGGGTCTAATACATTCATATCAGCCCAAATTGCTCCCAGAAGCGTCTGGGTCTCACCCAGAAAATGGCATTTCGTTACATTCAACACAGGTTTTATATATTTATAAATAAATAAATAAAATAGGCATTAATGCCTAAATGATTAGGCTTGTTACGGCAATATAAAATTGCTGCTACAGAAATCAGTAAATCATATTTACTGATTTTGCAATTAAGTTTAATTATTGTATAAGTAGCTTGTTAGTCTGGTACTATACACTAGCCAATCATTTGTCACATGCAGGAATCTATGGAGGTTGAAGCTCGAAGGAAACTTGTGGCCATCGAGGAATCTGAAGCTGGCGTGCATGCAGCTCATGCTCGCACATTGCAAGAGGAGTGTCAGGCAGAGCTTAATCGGGCACTTCCAGCTTTACAGGGTCAGTTTTATTACTGCTTCATTCTCAATAAATAAGAAAGACAACTTGATTGCATTTCTCTACAAATTTATATTGTCACTGTATTTAATTTGTCTTGATTATGGCAGCCATATTTTAGAAAACAAGATTTTTGTGACACGAAAACAAGATGCTTGCAACAAAGTAGTTGGAATTTTTATTCTTCCTTTGCCAGCTTATGAATATGAAAAGCAGCTTTTTGACCATAACAGTCAGAGGCTTTCTAATCCAAGCTCATATAATGTTCTGTCAGACTGCATTGAGATAGACATGACAGGGTGACATTCTGGACAGTAACTACAGTACTAGGTTATATCAGCCATGGAGTTCTATAGGCCTACTGGGAACCAGCACAGAACCTCTGTGAGGGGGCTCCCTGGCCCCCTCACAGAGGTGCAAGGAGCAGTGACATATATGTATGTATTTATGCCACCACCGGGGAAGGCATCCAGAAAGTCAGACAAAACAAAACACTGCTGACATTAAATAAGACTGCAAGCTTTGCAGAGAACTACTGAAAGAACTCTACAACACTGTAAACAAATAATCAAAATCTCTCTAAACTAGTGTAAGCTCGATTGCCCCATTCATTTGGGAGGATGGCAGTGGGTGTTGAGCCAGCTTCTGGTCATCCAGCTACTGAACTCTCAATTCTATGGTGATGTGTGTAATATTTGTGCCTGGTCACACACTGCTGCTTAAGCTCCAGTATTTTACTGTTGCAGCCAAGTGATGATTTTAGCCTTTATGGGCATTTGTGTACACTGTGCAGTGTTGTTTAAGCCTAGACATTTAGTGTGCTTGGAGCTGCATTTGCACAGATTCATCTTCCCTGTATGTTCCTTAATGCTGCCCTTATACCTTGCATGCTACATTATAGCATGCCAAGGTAGGCCTTCATAGCCATACAAGCAGCTGCTGTGTTGGCTTACTACATTGTCTCTATATCTATGTTCGAAGTAGATTCGTACGACTCATTTATTAGAGGTCCAGCATAGAGTCCTAGTGCCTGGGTTTCCTAATTGGTCAGTTCCTTCAGACCCTGAAAATCCCCTGTAGGTTTTTTGGACCTGTGGATATCCCCACCTACCCCGCTCTTGGTTCAGGTGAGTTTAAGGGTTGCATGTGTTGAGTCCATCTGCCTCCGCTATGCTCCTAGTTGGGTCGGTGACACATTCGACGATAAGTCCTGTGGGAGTTTGCTCTCCTAGTATGGCTCATCCTTATGGCACTCTGTGGTTTGGGATTATTTGGTGGCGACCACATTGCATGTGTGTTACAGTGATCTGTGTTGTGTGCCTGGTTGGATGCCCAGGAGATACCCTGTTGGTTTTCACACAGAGCTCTGGGGGCCGATCCTCTTTGCTGTGCCCAGGCCCCAGTGCTCTTGTGTGGCTTTCAGTTGTGTCTTGCAGGATCTGTGGGTTCGTTCTGTCTGACCGGCCTGCAGTCTGTCTTTGCATCCTTTGTGTTTGCAGTACATACATACAAAATAGGATACAAGAAAAATGTTGGATATCTATTTATGGTAGGTATATACTAAATCTAAAGCCACTAATATGCACAGCATTTCAAGCATAATGTGGTAAAAATAAACTTAAAAACGAAGACTTAAAACTTACTCAAATTAAAAGCAAAATTGAACTGAAGTAGAAAAATAAAAAATTACAATAATTACATTGTGCTACATATAATTATATGGTGCTACTTATAATTACAATATTTACAATAATTTACAGCAGAAATTGCAACAGTACACCAGATAGTAATTTTCACTCAATAAACAGAAGGAATACAGTTCTTTTTAGTTTTTACATTGCAGATATCAGCAGTTTTACAAGTTCAGTCATTAATATTTAACAAGTTCAGTCGTAAATGTTCAATAATAGCAAAACATAGGTTGACATTTAGGAGGTAAGGTAGGTTACATGCAATTGATATAAGAGCACAAGCTTCTAAGTCGTACCCTAGAGTACGAACCATTGAAACCTGACCTTACTTCATGGAAATCTGTCCTCAAACCAGGCTTGTTGAAGCGGCATGCATCCTCTGAGATGCACTCATGAGTTTTAATATACTGTGTAATAAAAATAGATGCTTTCACATATATAAATTATTCAATAAAATACAATGTATAGTTGGGTGTAGGTTAGGTGTTTATGTTCTGTCTGGTGATTATTTGTATTTAATGTATGTGGGGGAAGCATTTAATGTGTTGATTCAAACGGGTCATCAATGAAGTAATTTTTTAAAAATGTTTCAATGTCATCAGCTGTGAGTTGTGTGTAAGCTATTTTTCATTCATAAACGTGGGGGGTTTGGTATCTGGATTAATGAGCATTTGGCTTTGTTTATGAGGACGGGCTCGCTCTTTATAAAGTTCATGTTCTGATAAAGTGTGTTTACAACCCACAGAAGCAGTGGAGGCGTTGAATACCTTGAAGCCTGCAGATATCACTGTCGTAAAGAGCATGAAAAATCCACCTCATGCCATCAAGCTTGTTATGGCTGCTGTCTGTGTCATGCTCGAAATCAAGCCTGAAAAGATGAAAACCAGCAGTGTTAAAGTGGTAATGAACTTTTCATTTAATATGCTATTCTATTCAAAAAATAATACTACCTTGCCTGTTTATTATTACTCTACTGGCATCCCTCAGTGTAAGTAGCATTTGTGTTTCCTGAAAACTGGTACCTAACTCGTGTACAGTGATCCTTTCTGGGAGGAGCCTCAGTGGCTTCCCCTGAAGCTACTATACTGTTACAGTACCAGACTACATGGGGCCATCAATCACAGAGATCTTTTTGGCCTACCAGGAACCATGAGCCAGAACCTGGCCCCCCCCCCCCCTCAGAGAGAGACAGGGAGCAGTGACACTATGAAAAATGTTATGTAAATTTATTCACGTCTGCCACCACCAAGAGAAGGTACCCAGATGTCAGTGAAACAAAACAGACCACTGCTTGGTTAGAAACCAGACTGCAGCCTCAAAACAGCCAAATAAACTTTCCCAACAATGTTAATAAATGATAAAAAATTTGTGAAACTAGCGGGAGATAGTTTTCCCTACCTCCCTTCCCCCTTATTTGAGGGGGAACAAGGGAGGTAGATCAGGTCAGTCGGCTGCTCCACAACTAATTTTTATGATGGAAACCATCCCAATGCCTTGGAGAAGGGAGGGTGACATGAAGCCACCAGGGCTGACCCAGAATATGGCATTTCAGTACATTCAATGATGATTTTCTGGAGGGAGCCCCTGTCAGCTCCCTGAAGCTATCCAAACTTATATCATGCTATATTAGTTGGGGTCATCAGTCAGTCTTTTTGCATACTGGGGACCACGAACCAGAACCTGGCCCTCTCAGAGGCACAGGAATCAACGGTCTACGAACACTTGACATTTAAAATACATCATACTTTCCATCGACCAAGGAATGCACCCAGAGAGGTAGGCAAATCAAAACGGACCACTGTCTGGTTATAGTATGTAAGCTATGTTCTCAATAGAGCAAAATATCTCCTGTGGAAAGAAAGCAAACAAGCAGCAGGTCATCCAACTAGCCCCCTGACTCATTAGTGCTATACATTGTGGGGAGGAGGATGCTCTGTGGCTGGCACAGCCAGCTTTACTCTCAACGCAGCAGCCGATGTTTCTCTCTGACTATTAGTTTGCTAGTTGTGTGACTTCAGGAATTTTTGTTTTCATTTTCTGCCATTTTTGCATGTTGTGAACATAGGTGGTCTGCTTAGCTTCTTACATGGCTAACCTTGGTTGTGTTGGTAGTCCTCTTCTGTTGCCACTGAGGTTTCACAGCCTTAATTGTGACACAAATTTATTCATTTGATGTATCACGCTATTGTGATTTCTGTGTGTTTACCCTACAGGCTGTGGAAAACCCCTGTGGGCTCGGTGGTAACATGGATACATCTTCAGAGTCCATGCTCGCCTTACGCAAAGTTGAAGGTTGTTCGTCGCCCCTGCCTCATGATGAGCATCATCCTCACTGCCTCCGTCATGCTGCCTGTTGGGTCGGTGACGCCTATGACTATGACAAATCTTGCGGGACTTGTTCCTCACTCCTGCTACAATTTACTCATTCCCCATCTGTTGATCTCAAGAATCAGGCGGCGACTGCGTTGCACGCTCAATTTTTCTTCATGTAATGCACCAGGTTGGTTGTCCGGTTGGAGGCCCCGAAGCTGTCCCACTTTGGTTTTAGGGATCAGGATTTGGAGGCATTGGTCGCTTTGACTTTGGTTCCATTCACGACCCCGCTTCCTTCCCAGGTGGGCATGGTTCGCCCTGCTCCTCCTCCTCTTGCTTCTGGCTCCAAAACATCTCAGGGTTTCAGAGTCAGGGTGGGGTTTAGCGCGGGATGAGGCTCGGGTGGCTTCGGGGGCTGCCCCTTCTGATTTTGGCGCGGAAGTGGCTGAGCCCATTTTTTCTATCGAGGCTTCTTTAGTTGACCCAGCCGACTCCCTTCTCGGAAGCTTTTTTCCTGGACTCGGCCTTTTCTTCAGGTGTGTTGGACGTGGAAGAGGACTCATCCCTGGGACCTGTGTTGGGGGTTCCCAGGGCTTGGGGGAAGTCTGCTTGGAGCTTCCCTGGGGCTTCCCCTACCCTTTTCCTGGTGAGAGGATTGTGCAGACAGCGATGAGGCAACATGATGACGTCATGCTCGTTTACTAATTTTCACTTTTTGGAATTCTGTCCACTCGTTTGGCTTTCAGTAGCAATATTTTCACCAGAATAGGGGTTTGTTTTGGGGTGCCTACCTTTCTGGGTGCCAGACCCATTCACTGGCAGACATAGAATGTTCCCAACCACACGGGGGGAGTTTCTATAGGCCATTGCTCCTCGTGCCTCTCTGAGGGAGCCAGGTTCTGGCTCATGGTCCCCAGTAGGCAAAAACTCCATGCACTTTCACTGATGACAGAAAGCTAATAAATACATATCAGCCTGGATAGTTTCGAGGAGCTTCCGGGTCTCGCCCAGAAAATGGCGTTTACTTACATTCAATGCTGGTTTTTTCACCTCTGCCCTGCTCAGGCTCCTCCATAGCAAATCCTTGTTTCTTGACTTGCTTTTAGTTTTCTCTAAACTCATTTTAGAGTTTCCCCCCCCACCTCAGCTTGATATATTTCTCAAGGCTGTCATTTTGTTGGCTCTCTCATCTGGCTGTAGGTTTGGGGAGCTTCAGGCTCTTCTCAAGAGGTTCTGTTCTGTTCTTTTGGCTGTGGTAGGCAGTTTGCTCGCTTGCAGCCTTCTTTTTTATTTGGTAAAGAACGAGTAAGCGAGCTTCTGGAGGGTTTGGTGATTGATCCTTGGTTCAGCTGAGGTTGCATCATTTGTTGTCTAGTGGCAATTCTTTGCTGCTACCTACAGGCTACCAGTTCTGCCCTGGTGGATGCCTTGTTGGCTGACCCTGTATCCTTGGTCTTCTGTTTCAAGGCTCTCATTTCTCAGATGTCATTAAATTTTTCCAACCTGCAATTTTGGTGTTCTAACAGGGTTCTAGCAGCCCAGTATTTGGTCAGTGTTCCTGTTTCCAATCAGTTATGTGTTGCTTTGGTCCATGTCTCCTGGCCTGGGTTCTCTTCATCCTAGTTGCTGCCACCTCTACTCTTCCCCCCAGGTATGTCCCACTTGTTCTTTGAGCTTCAGGGAGCCACTAGGAGTTTTCCCTAAGAAACACAGGATTGAATGTAATGAAATGCCTCTTTCTGGAGGATTTCAGGTGGCTTGCAGATTCCCACCTGCCTCCAAGTAATCTGGCTGCAGGTTGGGGCCAGGCTGTCTGATAGTGGTAATCAGTACTAAGGAGTTTTGAGCAAGTTTGAGTGAATCCTTTATTCTGTGTAAATCGTTGTGTAAATAGTTGTTTGGTGGTATCAAGGGTTGGTTTTCTGTGCTCCCTTCAGTTTACTGTAAAGCTTCACTGACTTTTTGAAGGCATTTTCCATTTGGGTTGTGAATTGATATGACCTATTACTGTAGTGTGAAAGAATCTTGGCAAGATAGCTTCAGCAAGCCACCAGGGGGCCTTCAGAAAGAGGCATTTCATTACATTCAATGCTTGATTTTTCATGACCTCCTCAGTCCTTCAAATACTCCAAGGCAACTTCAGTACTTATCAAATAATTTATAAATTTATATATAATTGTTATTTGCATTTATTTACTAATGCTTATTCCTGCAGACATATGACTTTTGGGGCCCAAGCAAGCGCCTTTTAGGTGATCTGAGTTTTCTGCAGCAGTTACGTGATTATGATAAGGATAATATCCCTGATTCAGTCATGGATAAGATCAACAAAGAATATGTTCGCCTGCCAGAGTTTGATCCCGTTTCGGTAGCCAAGGCATCAAGTGCTGCTGAGGGTCTGTGCAAGTGGGTTCGTGCCATGGCATCATACAACGCAATTGCCAAGGTGAGCCATATAATGTACAAGTAGTTAACTTATGTACAATACTCGAGGTCTTGCTTGAAGGTTAACCCCCTGGGCTGCACCACTGATTGTATAATGCAACATCCAGGTGTGTATAAAATAAAGAAATTCTAACAAAAAATCATTTCTTATAATATTGTTAACCCTTAAAACAGTGGTTATCATCATTAGTTGATTCACGGCTAATGCAGTTATCATATGACAATTTAAACAACTACTGTCTGGGTTTTACATGTATGATGCAAATATGAATATAATAGCTCTCTGTGGATTTATGGAGTTTACCTTGACCATGAAAAAATCCTGCTACCATTTCATGGTTATGTGTACAAGGAGGAGCCTGCTGTCATGTGTGTGCCACATTGGTAGCTTATGCCTTTCTTTCTATCTATACTATATCTGTAATCCCCATGGCACGGTGGTAAAACACTTACCTTGTGCATCTGTTCACCAAGCAGTGAATGGATACCTGGTTGTTACACGATTTGGCGGGTCGTATTACGGGGAAAATGATGATAATAATATTAATATTTATTTACAAGAAGGTACAATGGGTATGAGAGATTAGGATTAAGGACCTGCCCAAAACACTGTGCATGCTAGTGGCTTTACAAGAATGTATGAACTCTTGTATATATATAAAAAATCCTTTTCACTACTCTCTAAGGTTGTCATAGAGTATACCAAGTGATTAAAAAAACCACCAGTATACAGGAGTTTAAGACTTGGGACTTGTTGGCTGTCTGGTTGGCAAGATTAATATTCAAACCTGTTAGTATTAATTGATTTTTGTTAAGTTTGTGCTATAACTCAGGTCACATGTAACAATTTATATACAATGTGCATTTCTTGGTCCAGATTGTAGCACCCAAGAGAGAACGTCTGGCAGAGGCTGAAGCTGAAGTGGCTGCTCTCATGTCTTTAGTAGAGGCCAAAAGGGGACAGCTTAGAGAACTGGAAGAGAAGTTGGAAGTACTTCAACGTCGCTTTTCCCTTTCCTGCCGTGAGAAGGAGAACCTTGAGGCTGAGCAGAAACTCTGTGCACTCAAATTAGAACGAGCCCGAAAACTTATAAGTATGTTTGTTTTAATAAGCTTGGTAACATTTGTACAACATTAAGTTAATGTAATATGCCTCAAAATTACTGTTTTGTGTAAATTTATGCAGTGTTGTATAACTCGGTGAAAGACTTTTATTTGCAATCAAATACTATAAGGTTATGTTACAGAATATACATGTGTATTGTGTGAATGTGAATATACATGTGTATTATGCTTATTTTATTATTTCTGAGCTAAATCCTCTCGGTACCTCTGTTAGGCAATGTTTCACTCAACTGTGGACACAGCAATGCACCAGCCTGGCCAGTGTGATTTTCCGATCTCTAACACAGTGTGGGTCTTTTCAGTTTCCTACAAGTGAGCCATTAGTGTAGATGCAGCCTGGTATGATAATTAGTAGGTTCATTCATCAGTGCTCAAAATGCCTGCTATTACACATCACCAGCAGATAATACTGTCAACACCGTAAACACAGGCACCCGGGAACCCTGACCACACTTTCCTCCTAGGATCTGCCTAGTAAATTTTCCAGTGACCTCATTTTAAAATGACAGTATGTCCTGAGACTTTGATATCATGTGCAGTTAACTTATGCTCACAGGGTTTAATAACCTTGATATCATGTGCAATTGACTTACACACACAAGGCTTAATAACTTTGATATCATGTGCAATTGACTTATGCTCACAGGGTTAAATAACCTTGATATCATATGCAATTGATTTATGCTCACAGTGCTTAATAACTGTTTTAGAGTGTAGTTAAATGAAAGATATGATGATCGTGTCCCATCTTCCCTATAAGCTTTGTCTGATGCTTGGAAACTCCTGATGGTTTTGGCATCCACCACCTTCTTAAACTGTTCTAAACTGTTCATCTACAACTCAGCAAAAGAGCGCTTAAATATATTTTGCTCAATACCCATGTTTAATTAGCAATGAGGATTAATATCTAACCAGTGTGGAGTCATAATTGGATTATTGGTATTAAATTCCTGTTGTTCCCACTAAAGATTAAATCGGTGACAGGTGTAACTACCGGCCGCTACAAGGAGAAGGCAGCCACTTTAAACACGAGGTTAACTCTGGTTTACAGATGAGGCCACTCGAGATGTTGGAATATGGGTCGACTAAACAGCTAAGCTGTTCACAATTAATAACTATTACATTTACAAATAACTAAACAAACAGAGCAGGAAATTAAATAAGTTAAATACATATTAATATTAAAGTTATATGAAATAAGAAGCAACTAATTCTGCTCTTTCCCAATTAATATTAACTCTATAACTTTCCCCCCCACCATCTGTGAGATTGTCTGGAACTCATATTGAGCTATGGTATTCAGTCTGCTATTAAATGTTAATATACTCACGAAGGAACTTAAACTAAGCCACATCATCCCAGAAGTTAGTTAGTCAGTCCATCTGTCCATAAATTCAGGAGATATGGACTTTGAGCAAGAAAGTTAGCTTCTAGAATTTAGATTATTGAATAAACTGCAGAATTATAGATACAGTACTTTAAAAATCAATATTTGTTAACACAAATATTTGTATTTGTGATGGGAAAGAAGTTAATATCTTGAAACATAAAATCAGAGGAATATACAGGAGACTTTCCATAAAGAAAGAGTGAGAATTAAGCAAGTTAATACTCTGTTAATACTTTGACTGTGTCATGGCTGTAAATACATCATTTCTCCTTATGTAATAATTTGGATAATACCACAATATTTAAAGAGAATATTAGAACATTTGTAGTTTGGTTGACTGTGTTTCACTCCAATGTATTGCAGGTGGACTGGGGGGAGAACAGTCACGATGGGAGGCTGCAGCAGGTGCTGCTGCGGCAGACTTGCTTCGTTTGCCTGGAGACACCTTGCTTGCTGCTGCATCACTGGCTTACCTTCCACCTCACCAACCAGATATTAGGTGAGTTGTATCTCTATAAATCACATTGACTAGAAATAATTGGGTCTATTTTCTGAAGGAGCCCTGTTGTGACTCCCTAAAGCTATCTTGCCAAGATTACTCCTATCTGGTAGGTCACATCAGACACGTGCGGGGCGCAGACAGAACCAAGGTCAAGGTGACCAATACCCCCAATCCTGGTCCCGAAACCCATGCGGGGCAGTTCCAGGGGCCTCCAACCGAGCCCTTAAGCAATGTCTCAGAACGTTAGCCAGAGAAAATCGGATTCAGACAAAAATAGATAAATTCGTGATTTCAACGGTTCGTGAAAAATCTTTGTCGACAAGCCATGCTGCACCCGCCGATACAGAATTCCCATCAACAAGTCCCGCAGCCTCTGCTGGCAACGAATGCTCTACAAGCCATGTTGCACCCGCCGATGCTGAATTCCCATTGACAAGTCGTGGAGCATCCGCCGGCAACGAATGCTCTACAAGCCATGTTGCACCCGCCGATGCTGAATTCCCATCGACAAGTCGTGATAAGTAATCCACTAACGATATATAATATGATTGAAAGGCATGTAAATTAGTGTAAAAAGTGTTGAATAGAGTACAGTATTGTAAGTGTTAATGATTAATTAAGCCTTGACAAAAAGATACTGTACAGTGTAAATATACTGTACAGTAGAAATAATTGTCAATAGTGAAGTAGAATTAGAAGTCATGTGAATTAGTAGTAAGCCTAGCTGTTGTGTGAAGTGAGTACCTGAAAATAAGTGTACATACTGTATGTACCCTGTATACAATATAAAACAAGCGCTGCAGAGAATGACGTAATCTTCACAGCTTCGTAATCTTCAGCTTCATTAAAAGTAAGTCAATTTACCAATTTTATTATAATATTGCAACATATTAATTGTTTTTTTCAACAAGAGCTACATATTAGTCTCTGCAAATGTATATTCTATCGTTAGCAGAGAAAAGGTGAGCTCATAATATTTCATCATGGCTAGCTCTCAGTGACAAGGCTCGATCGCCATTGTTATGGCCTGGCCGCCACAGCCTGTGTCATAACATTAAAAATACATTACCTGCACTGTTCAGGGTAAAACAAAACACATCTCTAAAATTTTATTGAGAAAATATTAACAATCACTGATTGATACATGAAATATTTTGCAATACAAAGGAATGAACCAATTTTTTCCCACCCTTCTGGACTTGATCAGACCGTGTTCACACATCATCCATGCAGCAGCCAACAGCTGGCTTAATCGTCGGCGTGGCACTAAATTGGAACGCAATTACACAATGAACTTTATTTAATTTTAGTTATACAGTATAAAATATATCCTACCTGAATGTTACTTGAAAAATTACCCGACCCGACTTAACTTCGGAAATAACGGAGCTCCGGAAATAACGACCAGGGTACAGCCCCATATAGGCCGTTAAATTGAGTGGATACTGTATGCATAGAAATGGGAAAACACCTAAATTATTGGGACCGCCTCAAAGCTCTCAAAATGTACTCTTTGGAAAAGAGAACGAGAAAGATATAAAATACATGGAAGATACTTGAAGGCGAAGTCCCAAATTTGCACAGTAGAATAACAGCATACTGGAGCAAAAAATACAGAAGGAAATGCAGAATAAAACCAGTGAAGAGTAGAGGTGTCATAGGCACAATCAGAGAATGCTGTCTGAATATCAGAGCTCCACAGCTGTTCAACACCTCCCAACAAGCATTAGAAATATTGCTGAAACAAAGATGGATGTATTCATGAGGCACTTAGATAAGTTCTTGCAATAAGTGCCGAACCTACCAGACTGCAGTGGATATGTAGGCCTGCGGGCTGCTCCAAGCATCAGCCTCGACCAAGTTATCACAAGTCGAGCCTGACCTGAGGTCGGGGTCAGGAAGTAGAAGAACTCCCAGAACCCCCTACAAGTATGCGCCTGGTTGGAAAATGCAGTTTCCCTGGGGAGCAGATTATTGCCTAAGGGAGCTGCTTGCTCAGTAAGGAATGTTTCATTTATATTCACATGTTTGTGATTTATATTGTCTTTATTAAATATGAAGTATAAAATTTTTGATACTCCTAGGAATCAACTGTTGGCAAAATGGTGCATGGCAGTGAAGAAAGCAGACCTTGAGGTGACTGATTCATTCAGTTTAGTAGATTCTCTCACTCCACCTTTACACATCCGTGCATGGGGACTAGAAGGTCTTCCTACTGACTCGTTCTCCCTTCAAAATGCCACTATCATTAAACATACTGTGAAGTAAGTTGTTATATTCATGTTTACTTCAGAGTTTTAAAATATTTTTGAGTAGCTTAATTTACTTAATTATAGTTCTATTATTTAACAATGCTCTAGTTTATAGTATCTTTTCCTCAAGAAAATGGGTAAATGAAATACAAAGTTTAAATTAATATTTTCTTGGACAGATTTCCTGATAGGTCATTGAAGCTGTCTCACCGAGATAGCTTCAGGGAGACTGACTGACTCCATGCAAATGAGTCGCATCAGATGTGGGTGTTCAATTTGACCTACCAAGGACCAGAGCAAAAACCTGGCCACACCCCCAGCTCCAGAAGGCTGCAAACAAGTGCAAAGGGTTTCCTCAATCAGCTTAACCAACAGCTGGGGAACCCGAACAATGAACTGCAATATTGTGACATCCCTCGGGAGAGTGGGAGCAAATAATCACGTAATGACAGGCACAAAGGAAGTACCCCACCAGAAACACCTGTAACAAAGCAGCAGCCTCACACCATTCAAGCAAGTAGGACTGACAGAAATTGCGACAAATCCCCAGCGAAAACAAAGGGTTGTCTGCCAGCCAGGACAACTCTGGAACCTCATAATACATTCAATATGGAAAATAAGAACCACACTCAAAAGAGGCTGGATCCATCATCAAGGCAAAATCCAGGTCTTGCAAAAGGTACACACACACACAGCCAACGCTGGGGAAAAGTTGAGAGGTCGGAAACTTCTGGAATGATGACTCCAAGGAACCCAAGAGCACCTGGAAACGAATCCTAGGGATAGATGTAGCCATATTAAACTCATTCAGGAAAGGGGGGGATATGAAGACCCCCCATACCATGCAACAGAAGACCCCCTGCAAAAGGAACAAGAGTCCATGAAGGTTGAAACAGGACCCATGAACCTATGTCATACTCCCCCCAAGCCACGGGAATCACAGCTAAGGGCCCAGGGCAGTCATCATCCGCACCTACTTTCCGGGATAGAGAAGTGTAGTCCAAGGGAACGACTTCAAAGGTTGGAGCTGGCTGAAAAGTAGACCCAGAAGCCTCGCCAGGATCATCAGGCTCAGCTGCCTCCACACCCAAGTTGGAAGGGGCGAACCCTGTCATGTTGCAACCCGTTCTCGCAAATTTAATAAGTCAATATTGACTTATTAGTTGCGTGCATAGGTGACATACTAAACATAATAGTTTCCCTTGAAAAGCTTCATAGAAAACACCGACCTTACCTAACCTACTTAGTATGTTAAAATAAGCATCTTATAGCTTCGTAATTACAATTGTTACTTAACCTATTATAGGTATAGGTTAGGTAATAATTGTAATTACGAAGCAATAAGATGCTTATCTTAACATACTAAGTAGGTTAGGTAAGGTCGGTGTTTTCTATGAAGCTTTTCAAGGGAAACTATTATGTTAAGTATGTCACCTATGCACATATTTAATAAGTCAATATTGACTTATTAAATTTGCGAGAATGGGTTGTATGTTGATGGCAAACGGTGCCATCCATTTGTATGCGCTGCATTTCATACACCAGCAGTATGTAAACAACAAAAGAACGTGCAGAACCTCCACCATGTGTGGATGCTAGTCATGTACCATTATAAGTATTAAAGTCAGTAACCAAGCAATGGCTTTACATCAACCCTACAACCAAGGCCATCCACAGTAACACAGAGCACCACAAACCCCAGAGCAGACCAAGCCACATCCTGAGATAAATCTTGCCCCAATCCCAAACCCTTCAGACACTTCAGGATGGAAGCAGAGGGAAAGACCAGGAGGAGGGTACACAATGCCTGAATGGGGAAGAAGTAGTAGTTCAGACAGAACCATGATTGAATTAACCCAGCTCCCCAAATCAGAGTCCCTAAACACCAATTGGGGCAGCTTTGGGGGGACTAACTGAACACACACAACCTAGCCCACTGTAGAACAAATCCACAAGCATAAAGTGGTCACTGGCTGAAAACCCTGAATATCGCCACAAGAGTTTGTTAGGCGAGTAACTTGTAGAAAACATGTCCCACTTGACTTGCGGGGTTAAAAGTGTCACTAACCCAACAGGCAGCATGGTGGAGGCAGAAGGTACGAGTATCGTCATGTGGCACAGACTATGTACAATCCTTAAACTTGCACAAGGAGAGAGCAGATTCAGTGGGCATATCGGAACCTGCAGGGGTTTCCCAGGGTCTGCAGGGAATGGTTCTGCAGGCAGCCCCCTAGCACTGGGATTACTACACTGGAACCTTGATTTGGAAATGGATCTTTCTGTTGTAAAGAAAGGAAGTTTCTTTTGTATTGAAAGTCAAAGGGAGTAGAGCAAAATGGACACTTGAATGGATATAAATACAGTAGGCCAACCCTGCTTACTGCAGGGTGAGAAGGCTGACCTCCTCATGCCGGGGTTAGGTCACATGAACTCTAGTGTTCCCCACCAGCCAAAATTTGCTCCCGACACCAAGGAAGACCAAAAGCCAAAACCAAATGGACTTACCTAGGGCGAGGACCAAGTGAGGAAGCCCTCTAAGGGAGCAAACCCTGAGCACTCTAGGAAAGAGAACCCCCTGACAGTGCAAGGGCAGTGCTAGGGAGCACATGGGGAAAGAAAACCCTGTATACATGCAGTACCAAGTGCCCTATATTCCTGGTTCTCGCAGCACAAACCATGTACCACAAGTATGTGGTGGCAGACACGACTAAATTTATATAAAAATTGGTATAGTGCTATTGCTCCCTGTGACTCTGAGGAGGCCAGGTTCTGGTTCGTGGTCTTAGGTAGGCCAATAAGAACTCCGCAACTGATGGCACCTTGTAGTCTAGCACTATATCTGAATAGTAGCTTTAGGGTGCTACTGGGGCTCACCCAGAAATTGTTATTTGATTACATTCAGTGCTGTTTTTTTCATATAGTTTTTCATATAGCCTCTGTAGTCCTTTGTTCTTCATACTTCATTTCAGATGGCCATTGCTAGTGGACCCCGATGACCAGGGTACACGGTGGATCCAGCAACATGAGGCTGCAAATGATCTGGAAGTCGTCCAGGAGCAGGATTTTGACAAGATAATAACACAGTCTATCAGCGGAGCTCGGGTAACTGTACTGGAGGATGCTCTGACTCGTTGCATTCCAAAGGGTCGGCCGCTTCTCCTCCTTGACCTGTCAGGAGAACCACCACCTATTCTTATCAACATTGTCACCCGTACTACAACAGAAGAAGGTGAAATTTCTCTTAAGTTATAAAAATTTATAAACAATAATTATAACTATAGAAAATATCAAACTACTTTGGCATCTCTAAAATTCTGACTAAAGTGTGACATAATTATTCAGACTGATCGATACCTTTTGATGTCTAAAAAAAATTAAATTCAGAGTAATTATAGTTGTGATTGTGCCACATGATTTTTCTGCCATTTTACTTTACTGGGGGAACTCCTCAGTGGCTCCCTGTATCCATCTCATTGACATTGCTCTCTACTACATCACATTAGTCGTGGGAGTTCTGTTTGGCCTACCAGACACCAGGGCCAGAACCTGGCCCCAGTCAGAAAAGTTCAGAGAGCAAATGACATTCCACCATTTGTCACTGGGAAAGAATCCAGAAAGTCAATGAAGCTTTACATGCAACTGCTGGGTTCACAAGACTCAAAGTCTCAATTGTCAAGCAACTTCCTAAACAATTCATACAAAAAAAAAAATCCACTCAAAACAAGATCAAACATGTTAGTACTGATTGCTGCCACCAGGCAACCTGGAGCTTGGTTCTGCACCAGCTCATCAAAAGTTCTGTCATTTATATCGTGCATCACAATTGTAATCCATGGTCTTCATCTCTCGTAGCGGGTCCCACAACAGCTAAGCTAATTGCCAGCTATCCTAGGACTTGTCCTGTGGTGACTATTTGCTTGTAATTACCTAAGTGTAATTAAACGATGAGAGCTACACTTGTGATGTCCCATCTTCCCAGCACTCCTTGTCATATAACACTTTGAAACTACTGATGGGTTTGGCTTCTTCCACCTTCTCGCTTGTTCCAACTGTCTACCACTTCAAAGAACCAGACACAGTAAGAATTCCAGAGAACAACAAAGTTCATAAAGGTGTTTAGAGACAAAGTGGAAAAAAATGATCAAGGAGCTAAGTAAGAACAAAGCAGTTGGCACAGATGGAATTTCACCTTGGCTTTTGAAAGAATGCTCACCTAAGCTCAGCATTCCACTTCAACTGATTTTTCAGGCATCCCAGTGTACAGAAGTCCTAGCAGATGGGCAGAAAAAGGCTAACATAGTTCCAGTCTACAAAAGTAGCAGCAAGGAAGACCCCCTCAGTTATAGACCTGTATCATTGACAAGTGAAACAGTCAATATATTGGAAAAAATAATTAAAACTAAATAGATAGAACTCATGGAGAAAAATTATATAATAACAGTGTGGTTTTCAATCTGGAAGATCCTGTGTAATGAACTTACTCAGTTTCTATGATAGCCACAGACATTTTACAGGGAAAGAGATGATTACAAATACAAATACAAATATTTATTCAGGTAAAGTGCATACATACAAGGTGAAATACAAAAGTTGATGGATTTATAGATAGAGCTAGTACATACAATGCCTAAAGCCACTATTACGCAAAGCGTTTCGGGCAGGACTTTGACTTTGATATGATTGGGTTGACTGCATCTATCCTGACGTAAAAAAGACTTGACAGGGTTCCACTCAAGAGGTTCTGGAAACAGGAACATATTGGAGAAGTGGCAGGAAGGCTTCTACCATAAATGAAAAATTTTCTGACAGAAAAATGAGGGCAGTAATCAGAGGCAATTATAGAATTATAATGTTAGTACATTAAGCAATTATAGAATTATAATGTTAGTACATTATATAGGCAATTATATACTCTTCATGTATGCTTCATGTACGCTCATAATGTTCCCTGAAACTGTGATACATGTGTCAGTAATGTGTCCACAATAAATGTTTATTGTCACAATATTACCTGTTATAAATTCACTAAAATTACAATATGTACAGTTTCACACACCATTTACACAGTAACACACTGTATTACACACTCAGTACTTCGGAAGTGAGTAATAATCAACGAAGTAGTCCATGGTACACAGCGCGACTTCGCTCTCGTTGCACCAGGTACAGATAAATTTTCGCTTCCTGTTTCTTCATTCTGTGTGCTTGCAAATAATGCAGTCATGTACACCCTTGGCTTTAGTACTTGTAGGTTGTATGTAACCAAGCTTGTAAAGCATAAGGTAGTATTGAAAGGATTATAGGAAAAGATCAATTTGTAAGGTAGTCTTGAAAAGATCGCTTTGTATGGTCCCACACAGGAAGAGATTCAGCTTGCCTCAAAGAGTGTCTGTCAGTCAGAAAGAGATTCAGCTAGCCTCAAAGAGTGTCCGTCAGTTAGGAAGAGATTCTAGTATTCTTGAAAATATCTATGGAAAACACCACCATGGAAGCCGCTAACACTGTTCATCTATGCTATTTGTATCAGATGCATCATTACTGAATGCAGAAAATGATTCATCAATGTATCATCTAAATAAATTGTAGATAGCATAGGATTGCAAGGGTGACACTCAGAGCTACAACTGGATATGCTCGCTGTATCATCCTCATAGGTGCTGTATCACTTGCCTCCGACCTTTGTGTTAGGTCCTTATTGCACCTAGCTTCACCAATATTATGACCCTCATGTTCTTCAAACAATAAGGTTTGAATTTCACCGACAGAGCGTTATCTTTCAACACTGTGTCGGACAGGTATTTGGGAGCCAGAGGCGCGTGGTTGCTCATTCAGTACTAACCAAGCCAGCAGCCCTAGGGCATTCTTGGAATTTTTTCCAAGATGGCTGCCTCTCACTGGAGGTCCTAAGAGTCCATTTCGTACACAACCAACCTCATACACATTTAGAATTGGTACCAAAAAATCAGAGTTTTCTCGGTTGGCGCAGTTTCCCGCCGACCGAGAATACTCGGTTGGCACAGTCAAGTGTTTAAGGACTGTCATCATCTACCAAATACTGTCGCCTTGTATCGTGTGGCGTTGGCGGAGCCGCTTCAGCTTGCATTTGAGGTAGATTTCGCTTCTGCTCTGTTCCGCAAGCTTTCTCGGGAGTTTTTTTTTTGAGATATATACAAGAGTTGTTACATTCTTGTATATCACTGGCCTACTCATGGACTGCCTGAGCCGTCCTGGTCGTAGGACCAGGTGTTCTCTTTTCTCTCTCCTCCTCAGTTTGTGGTTATCCACTTCGGTTCAGGACTGTTTTTCTAAGGCTCTTTTCTTGTTGGCATTGGCCTCTGAGAGTTGGGTCGGGGAGCTTTATGCTCTCCTCCAGCGCAGGGGTTTCTGCTCTTTCAGTACTGGTGGTCAATTTGTTAGTTTGCAACTGTCTCCTTCTTTTCTGGTAAAGAATGAGACTTCTGCTTTCTGGAGGGGTCATTGGGTTGTTTATGCTTGGTTGGTTCAGCCGGGGATGCTTCATGTTTTGTGTCCAGTTGCGGTTCTTCACTGTTACTTGCTCACCATGGACTCCGTGGCAGAGGACACACTTTGGATTTACCCGGTTTCCCTTCTTCCCTGTTCCAGGGTGCAGTTCTCCCAGGTCGTCTGTAGAATTATTGTCCAGCCAGCCTGCAGTCCATCCCCGTGCCGACAACATTTGTAAGTTCGTGGCTTTGGCTGCTATTTTTGGTAATATGTCTTGGGCTGATATTCGGGCACGAGTCTTTTGGAGATTGAACAGGGTCCTGGCTGCAGACAGTGGTGCGACGACGGGTGACATCATACTAGTTTGCTCGTTTTTGTTTGGGGAGTTCTATCCACTCATTCGGCTTTTGATTGCAATTTTACCCAGAATAGGGGTTTGTTTTGGGACGCCTACCTTTCTGGGTGCCTAACCTGGTCGAAGGCAGACATACAATGCTTCCAATTTCAAGGGGGTTTCTATAGGCCATTGCTCCCCTTGCCTCTCTAGAGGGCGCCAGGTTCTGGTTCGTGGTCCCCGGTAGGCCCATAAGAACTCCATACACATGACTGATGCCAAAGTCTAACATTAGCATATCAGCCTAGTAAGCTCCGGGGAGCCTCCGGAATTCGCCCAGAAAAAGGTGTTTCATTACAATCAACGCTGGTTTTTTACAATTATCTTATAATTATGAAAGTAAAATCACAAATCGTTAATCAGTACTCTATTTTCTCTGAACTATTTAGGTGGTGTTCGAGTTGTAAGTGCAGGAGCTCTCACTCTACAATACAACAATATTTTCCGGTTGTATCTGGCAACTAGACAACCACGGCCTCAGTTGTCCTTGGAGAGTGCTGCTGCTCTCACTGTTGTCAACTTTACAGTGACCGTTCATGGTCTGCATGATAACCTGCGACAAATTCTTGTCAAGAAGGAGCGGTGTGTGTTTTTAATTTGTTACCTGCTATATTAGTAACTCATTTTATAATATAGCTGTGCTTTAAAGTCTAATACAATGTATAAATAGTATTTGTTTTGGTTTTTTCTATTACAGTACAGTATCCACTCAATTTAACGGCCTATATGGGGCTGTACCCTGGTCGTTATTTCCGGAGTTCTGGTATTTCCGAAGTTAAGATGTCGGTAATTTTTCAAGTAACATTCAGGTAGGATATACTTTATACTGTATAACAAGTGGACCACACAACAAGTGAACCATATAAACCAAACACCTTTCCTTTCCCCTCCTCCCTCTATGTCTTCCATCCCCTCCCTCATTATCTTCCATCCCCTCCCTCAATGTCTTCCATCCCCTCCCTCATTATCTTCCATCCCCTCCCTCATTATCTTCCATCCCCTCCCTCATTATCTTCCATCCCCTCCCTCATTATCTTCCATCCCCTCCCTCATTATCTTCCATCCCCTCCCTCATTATCTTCCATCCCCTCCCTCATTATCTTCCATCCCCTCCCTCAATGTCTTCCATCCCCTCCCTCAATGTCTTCCATCCCCTCCCTCATTATCTTCCATTCCCTCCATCAATGTTTTCCATCCCCTCCCTCATTATCTTCCATCCCCTCCCTCAATGCCTTCCATCCCCTCCCTCATTATCTTCCATCTCCTCCCTCATTATCTTCCATCCCCTTCCTCATTATCTTCCATCTCCTCCCTCACTGCGTTCCTCATAACATGAGAACAGCAGGCGATGGAGGAAGGAGCTACTAATGGGGTCGAGGGAGCTACTATAGGGGTCGAGGCCTGGCTACTCAGACATATGTCAGCGCCTGCTCGCAGATGCCAGCTGTGCATAATTCATAAATAAAACTATATTTGTTTAATTAACAAATAGGAAACTATAAAACATGTTATTGATTAATAATGTATAGTTATATACAAAAATTAACATATTTTGGCATAAATATTTTACAACTCAGATTACAAAATTTAATACGGTATGGGGTGAGAGATTTGGCACCATCGCCTTGGTCAGCAATTATGCCCTCCGCCTTCCTTACCACCACCCCTCTCCCTGCCTCCCTCACCACCACCACTCTCCCTGCCTCCCTCAACACCACCACTCTCCCTGCCTCCCTCACCACCACCACTCTCCCTGCCTCCCTCACCACCACCACTCTCCCTGCCTCCCTCAACACCACCACTCTCCCTGCCTCCCTCACCACCACCACTCTCCCTGCCTCCCTCAACACCACCCCTCCCCCAACCTCCCTCAACACCACCCCTCTCCCTGCCTCCCTCACCACCACCACTCTCCCTGCCTCCCTCAACACCACCCCTCTCCCTGCCTCCCTCAACACCACCACTCTCCCTGCCTCCCACAACACCACCCCTCTCCCTGCCTCCCTCAACACCACCCCTCTCCCTGCCTCCCTCACCACCACCACTCTCCCTGCCTCCCTCAACACCACCCCTCTCCCTGCCTCCCTCACCACCACCACTCTCCCTACCTCCCTCACCACCACCACTCTCCCTACCTCCCTCAACACCACCCCTCTCCCTGCCTCCCTCACCACCACCACTCTCCCTACCTCCCTCAACACCATCCCTCTCCCTGCCTCCCTCAACACCACCACCCCTCTTCCTACCTCCCTCAACACCACCCCTCTCCCTGCCTCCCTCAACACCACCACCCCTCTTCCTACCTCCCTCAACACCACCCCTCTCCCTACCTCCCTCAACACCACCCCTCTCCCTACCACCCACAACACCACTCCTCTCCCAACCACCCTCAAAACCACCCCTCTCCCTGCCTCCCTCAACACCACTCCTCTCCCTCCCTCCCTCCCTCACTACCACCACCAATACTCTCCCTACCACCCTCACCACCACCCCCAACACTCTCCCTGCCTCTCCCCCTCAATGCCTCCCTCCATCAATCACTGCCTCCCATCCCTCCCGCAAGGCCTTGGAGGTCGGTGGCCTGTGGCCACGTGAGGGGTCGCCGATGCCAAAACAAACTCAATACCGACCTTCGGTAATATCGACCGCCAGACTGGTATATGAGGGTCCACATACCGATCTCCCAAACCGGTCGTTATTACCGGCAGATTGGTATAAAAGAGGCCGTTAAATTGAGTGGATACTGTATTGGTAAATAATCACAAGCATAATATAATTTAAATTAATTCAATAGCCCAGAATTAGAGGATGAACGACAAAAACTGGTGTTGACGACATCTTCCTACCAGCGTGCCTTACAAGGTACAGAGGAACGCATCCTTCATACTCTGTCTTCTGTTCAGGGCAATATCCTAGAATCTGAGGAGGCCATTATGATACTTCAGGATACAAAGGTGTGTTTTAGTATTACAATACTTTATAATCTCATTTCATTGAATGTAGTTAGAATAATTTGATCCTCATTGAATGTGTTTTTAGCAAAGATATAATTGAACAATACAATCTAAAGGTGCTGTATTAGGTTTTATGAAGTAAAAAAAAAAAAAAAAAAGTGAAAGGACCATTTCATTGAATTAGCTAAAAACATAAATGACCATGCAAATGAGGATTTGCTGTACAGTTGCTGGGAACCCAAATGTATTTGTAAAAACATGATGCAGTAGTTTAAAAGTTTTTCAGTTAACTATACAGTATTCCTAATCATTAATTTCTGATTAGGAATATGGCTCCTTGAAGCTATCTTAATGATATTGCTCTGTGCAAATGGGTCATATCTGACACAGGAGTTCTGCTTGGCACGGGGAACAGAACCAAAACTTAGCCCCCTTCATTGAGGTGCAGAGAGCAAGTGACAATTCACCACCACACCAGGAAAGTATCAAGAAAGTCGGTGAAGTTTTACACACAACTGGAAGATTAACAAAGATCGAAGCGTCAAAACTGTCAATTAACTCTGCAAATGATTAACACAGAAAAGGGAAACATTCAAAATTAGCATAAAACTTGTAGTACTGAATCCCACAACCAGGCAGCCTGGCTTCCATACACAGCCAACTTCCTCGATCATTTCCTTCACTGATATCCACTTGGATAGTAGTGTTTTGATTCTTTCATAGGTGACAAGCCCCTCTGTTTCAAGCTAAGTGTTAGCTGCTCTTGGACTTGTTCTGGCTCTGACCATTTGCTTTGTACTTTGTGCTATAATTTAGTTTTCTTGGGGAGCCCCTTGTGGCTTCCCCAGATCTCTGAGATGGCCCCAACTACTAGATTACATCAGCTGTGGAGATGAATTCCACCTACTGGTGACCAGGACCAGAAGCTGACCTTCCCCTCACAGACACACAGGAAGCAGGAGACATTCTTCCATCATGCCAAGGAAGGCACACAGGAAGTCAGTAAACCTATACAAACCACTGCTGGGTTCAAAGAAACTGAAACCTCAAAACCCTCTGAGGAAACTTCCCCAGCAATGTAAACAATTGAAAATTTCTTGAAATAAGTATCCGCTCTTTAGCCCCACCCTTCCCATTTGTTTGGGGAGAGGGATCAGGGCGGGGCTACTGCTGTCCACTTGCTTAAGCCCTCTGTTCGTCAGCTGATGCATTTACTTTCAAGTAGGAAGCCCCAGGTTGTCAGTAGCACTGGCAGGCCCTAATGTTTTTCAGTTAAGTGCTCTCTGGACCATGTCCTGTGTGCTTCATTTTGTACACTATTGTGTAGCATGGGCTTGACTTCGTGTGCTTAGCACATAATGAGCTCAGTTACCTTCCCTGGGTGCTCTCTAGCACTGCCCCTGCACTGACAGAGTTCTCTTCTCTGCTGGGTTCAAGAGTTTGGTCCCTTCCAGGTCCTTCCTGCTAAGAGTTGCCCTTGCTTTGGGCGAGACAGGAGTCTTGTTGCCCCTGTCTTGACCTAGGTCGGGAAGAAGTGTTGATGGGTGGGGTACAATAGCTCTTGAAAGCTTGTACATACAACATGTCGAGGTCGGCCTTCACAACCATGTCGCACAAGCTGTGTCAGCTTACTTTTAGATCCGGCATAGCATTCACAGTGCCTGGAGTACCTGGCTGGTTTCACTTTGGACCCTGGGAATTCCCTCAGGTCACTACAGTGATCCTTATTGAGAGGCTCAACAAGCCTGGTCTCGCTTTTTGCAGGTTTGACGGATGTTCATCATCTTTCCTACTTGAAGACGATTATTCTTTCTGCTATATTCATGCTTCCTGTTTGGTCAGTAATGTTTACAAGTCCTGTGAAGTTTGTTCTCACTGGCCCTCTGCCTTGATGGATTCTGCTTCCCAGTTAGAAGTTTTCCAGACAGATGCCACTTTACAGGCTAGGTGTGCTCATGTTAAGCATTTGAGGCATCTTGATTGTTGTATAGCAAGGAGTTGGTAGTGTTGGTGATCTCCACCTGGACTCGGTCCAAGCCGCCACTGCCTCCTTCACCACAGGACGGGTGTGGTTTGCTCGTTCTTCCCTTCTTTCTTCCTTCCTTCCCTGCTTCTCTCCTTCCCTCCTTTCCTGCTTCTCTCCTTCCCTCCTTTCCTGCTTCTCTCCTTCCCTCCTTCTCTGCCTCTCTCCTTCCCTCCTTTCCTGCTTTTCTCCTTCCCTCCTTTCCTGCTTCTCTCCTTCCCTCCTTTCCTGCTTCTCTCCTTCCCTCCTTCTCTGCCTCTCTCCTTCTCTCCTTTCCTGCTTCTCTCCTTCCCTCCTTTCCTGCTTCTCTCCTTCCCTCCTTTCCTGCTTCTCTCCTTCCCTCCTTTCCTGCTTCTCTCCTTCCCTCCTTTCCTGCTTCTCTCCTTCCCTCCTTTCCTGCCTCTCTCCTTCCCTCCTCCTCTGCCTCTCTCCTTCCCTCCTTCTCTGCCTCTCTCCTTCCCTCCTCCTCTGCCTCTCTCCTTCCCTCCTTCTCTGCCTCTCTCCTTCCCTCCTTCTCTGCCTCTCTCCTTCCCTCCTTCTCTGCCTCTCTCCTTCCCTCCTTCTCTGCCTCTCTCCTTCCCTCCTTCTCTGCCTCTCTCCTTCCCTCCTTCTCTGCCTCTCTCCTTCCCTCCTTCTCTGCCTCTCTCCTTCCCTCCTTCTCTGCCTCTCTCCTTCCCTCCTTCTCTGCCTCTCTCCTTCCCTCCTTCTCTGCCTCTCTCCTTCCCTCCTTCTCTGCCTCTCTCCTTCCCTCCTTCTCTGCCTCTCTCCTTCCCTCCTTCTCTGCCTCTCTCCTTCCCTCCTTCTCTGCCTCTCTCCTTCCCTCCTTCTCTGCCTCTCTCCTTCCCTCCTTTCCTGCCTCTCTCCTTCCCTCCTTCTCTGCCTCTCTCCTTTCCTTCTTCTCTGCCTCTCTCCTTCCCTCCTTCTCTGCCTCTCTCCTTCCCTCCTTCTCTGCCTCTCTCCTTCCCTCCTTTCCTGCCTCTCTCCTTCCCTCCTTCTCTGCCTCTCTCCTTTCCTCCTTCTCTGCCTCTCTCCTTCCCTCCTTCTCTGCCTCTCTCCTTCCCTCCTTCTCTGCCTCTCTCCTTCCCTCCTTTCCTGCCTCTCTCCTTCCCTCCTTCTCTGCCTCTCTCCTTTCCTTCTTCTCTGCCTCTCTCCTTCCCTCCTTCTCTGCCTCTCTCCTTCCCTGCCTCCCTCCTTCCCTCCATCCCTGCCTCCCTCCTTCCCTCCATCCCTGCCTCCCTCCTTCCCTCCATCCCTGCCTCCCTCCTTCCCTCCATCCCTGCCTCCCTCCTTCCCTCCATCCCTGCCTCCCTCCTTCCCTCCATCCCTGCCTCCCTAATTCCCTCCATCCCTGCGTCCCTCTCCTCCATCCCTGCCTCCCCTCCATCCCTGCCTCCCTCCCTCCATCCCTCCCTCCCTCCATCCCTGCCTCCCTCCCCTCCATCCCTGCCTCCCTCCATCCCTGCCTCCCTCCCTCCATCCCTGCCTCCCTCCCTCCATCCCTGCCTCCCTCCCTCCATCCCTGCCTCCCTCCCTCCCTCCCTGCCTCCCTCCCTCCCTCCATCCCTGCCTCCCTCCCTCCCTCCATCCCTGCCTCCCTCCCTCCCTCCATCCCTGCCTCCCTCCCTCCCTCCATCCCTGCCTCCCTCCCTCCCTCCATCCCTGCCTCCCTCCCCTCCCTTCCATCCCTGCCTCCCTCCCTTCCATCCCTGCCTCCCTTCCCTGCCTCGCTCTCTCCCTCCTTCCTTCCGTGCCTCCTCCCTCCCTCCATCCCTGCCTCCCTCCCTCCCTCCATCCCTGCCTCCCTCCCTGCCTCCCTCCCCTCCCTTCCATCCCTGCCTCCCTCCCCTCCCTTCCATCCCTGCCTCCCTTCCCTGCCTCGCTCTCTCCCTCCTTCCTTCCGTGCCTCCTCCCTCCCTCCTTCCCCTCCCTCCTTCCTTCCCTGCCTGCCTCCCTCTCTCACCATTTTGCTGAGAAATTTTGATCATTTCACTTCAAATTACATAAATAATTATGATGGGCTCTGAAAGTTATGGCAAGTGGTGAACAATGAGTGTTAGGCCGGCTGTTTCCCTTGTTTATCTCGGGTGGTAAAGGTTCAGTTTATATTCGGCAAACAAGCTTATTCGCCGGCACATGTGGTAATCATAATTTTCCATAGTAGAGTAGAGAGTATGTTAGTAGGTTTCCTATGGTGGTGTTTTCTTTTATTTATCATTTTAATGTGCTTGTCCTGCATCTGGTCATTGTCACTCCTTTTTTCTGGGGCACATATAAGTGTGTTTGTCCAAAGGTAAGCCTTTAAAATTCATGCAATGACAAACACATTCACTTTAACCCCTAAATTTAATATCATAACATTGTGTTTTTAGACATGTAAAGTGAAAAATTAGTTCTCCTTGGTTGACCATTATAATGATTGTATTTCCATTTGGCAGCAAATGTCAGATGAGATCAAGCATAAGCAAGAGCAGTGTGTGGAGACAGAAGCTGCTTTGCTTCTGTGCTGTCAGCAATATGAAACAGTGTCTAAACCAGCTGCTGCTCTGTACATGACTTTGGCAAGCCTCGGCGCACTCTCACACATGTACCAATTCTCACTAAGCTGGTATATTAATCTATACATTTCTGTTATAGAGACTACGTAAGTATTCAAGTTTTTTTTTAATTATCTTTGATATGTTATGCTGCTTAGTTTATATATTCTCTTTGCTCTATGCATTCAGTATGCACTCTATCATTCACAGAGCCAAACTTGACATAATATCCCTAACCAATGTCAATGACTACAGTACCTTACTGGTAGCTTTCCTGAGACTGTACCTAACTCTAACTAATTCCTCAGATATTAATGATATAATTCTCTCACTTAAAACTAATTCAAACTAAACTTAAAGCTAAACTTGAGACATAAACTTAAAACTAAACTTAAAACTGAACTTAAAACTATTGGCAAGAGATAAGTACTGTACTGTATATTACTAGATATACTTAGGTACTTACTGGAGCCTGTCACAGAGGGAAGATTGCAGGTATTGAAGATTATTATTGTGGTTAACAGTGTCAGAAGCATTACATAGATCAACAAATAAATCTATAGGGTACTGATTTTTGTCAAGAAATGTATGTTGGAAGGATCCTGTATACTACATTCATCAAAAATATATATATATTGTTGCTATATGTGTTTGTTCCATCAAAATTAATGTGGCAACAAAACGTTACAATTTCATCCACTGTGAGTGATGGTGTAAAGAGAACCAGATGGCAGCATTGTGACCAAGAGGCGCATGCATCATTCATGATTGCTGTATACAAACTGAGGCCTACTTGCCAACATGCAGGAGCCCACAATATTATTTTCGAGACGGTGGATATTTACTAAAGGCCCGAAACATTGAATGGGTGGCTCATTTATTGCTTGGGAGTTTTAAATCTTACTCTAGACCTTAATACAACAATTACTGAAACAACCTTGGTCGTGGTGTGCAGTTGAAGGGTTAATAATTGTTTTTGTAACAATGAAATACTAACATTACTTTTATTAGTGGCAAGAGCTCAGTATTGGAGCGTCGGCTGAAACTCTTGCAAGAATCTCTCGTCTGTCGTGTCCATTCAGCAGTGGTGTGTGGTCTATCTGCTGCCCATAGACTGCCCTATACTTTCCTCATTGCTCTGCATGTTCTCAGGTTAGTGAAAAGTATTGCATCTAAATATTTTTAGCATTTTGGAATAAAGGCCCTCAGTAGCTCTCTTCTAAGGCTAAGGCTTGTCAATGGATCCACCCAGGACACTGATAATATGCCAGGCTCTGAGCAATTATTAACCCCAAAAGGACAAGTAACCTTGCAAATCGTCTTGTTCCCCTTTTAAAAGGGGCATAGATCTCAGTGGAGAGCACACCTCTTTCCTCTCTGAATTAAATTGTTCACTGTAACACAGAAACCCTTAAAATCACAAAAACCATCTCCAAATAATCACTTGCAACTCAAATATTACTAAGTATTGCTCTGAATGACTAAACACCCATTTACCAATCATACCAACTGCCACCAGGAGGCTGACCTTTTTTGGCACTATTGTGAGGGCCAGTGGCTTCCAGTGGCTATCATTTCTGAGACCTTTGGGTGCCCTCTGATGGTTATTATTTATTATTATACCCTCTGAATTGGTGAAACGATTATTTTCGTTTCACCACTTCAGCTCAGACAAGCCTTCTCATTTGGGGGACTAGCTTCAAAAATTATTTCTAAATTTGTTGCACTTGAGGTATGTGAAAGTGACTTCTTTCTGTGGGGAGCCCCTCTGGGTCGCTGAAGCTATCAGACCGATATATGTTATATTAGTCTAGGGCATCATTCATCTGGAGTTCTGCCTACCGGGGACCATGAGCCAGAGCCTGGCCCACTCAGAGAGAGACAGGGATAAATGGCCTATGGAAATCCCCATGTGTTTGGGAGCATTTCGTGTTTGCCATCAACCAGGGTTAGGCACCGAGAAAGGTAAGCATAACAAAACAGACCCCACTTGGTAAGAAATTGCAACTGAAGACCGAACAGAGGCAGAAATCCCAAAAACCGAAAGAAACAAGCAAACGTCTTACACTGCCGCTGCACCCCTTGTCCGTGCAGCCCTCCTCCTCCATGGAAGGAGGAGGGAGGAGCCCCAGACCTCCACATCGGCTACTCACACCTCAGTTCGCAGACTGATGTGCTCTGGAGAGGTCGTCAACTCTGGCCTCAATCTTGGCAGACGTTGTACCTTCATGGTGTTTCCTGCTATTTGTGGTGCGGTGGCCAGGAGTAACTACAGTGTACTAGGGCTGCATGTGCTTAGGGCTACCTTTGCTAAGTGCCCTGTAAGTACTACCCTTAGGTTCTAGGGTTACCTTCCATAGAGCCTTTGGGATTCCACTTCCGTAGGGGGTTCTTCCTGCTCGGCATTTACCCCGCCTTTGGAGCCAGCTGGGGTTTCGTGGCCTTTGTATGGCCTTGGGTAGGAAGTGGTGGTGTTGCTGGTTGGGGAGTGAAAGGTACTGCGCTGCTTGCTTTCCTTTGCAGCAGCAGTGTTCCTGTTCCTTCTGGTGTTGTACCTTTGCTGAGTTTTTCTTTTCTTTTTGTTTTTTTGCCAGGAGGGGGGGTCTGCCTTGATTCTTCTTCTTCTTAATAGTAGGTGCAGTTTGCATGAAGGGTTTATCCTCCCGTGATGACTGCACCAGTACAGATGTTGGGAGATATGTGTATGTTGAGAATAATAAGTTTCAGAAGTGCTTGTTGCGTTGTGCTGTAGATAGAGGAGCGGCAAACAGTGGTGTATGTTAGAGGGAGACTTGCCACACTGTAGGGCGGTATGTTGTGCTTATGGTGTCAGCTGATCCTTGGTTTTGCAACGAGGCATTTGTTTTCTGTCTTTAGCTGTTGATGGCGCCTGGTATAAATGTGGCACGGGTCAGATGTGACCCAATTTGTTGGTCGACTGGAGATATTTTGCCAGTGCTTTGACTATTTGGTATTTTTCCTGTAATGAGTGGTCACCTCCTCCTAATATATGTTCGATGGTAAAGGGTATTTTAAGTGTGATAAAGGCGGGGACTTCTTTGAAATTTACTCTGGCATTATGATGTCGGAAGCCTTGTTTAGCTATTAGTCCACGTAGGGTATATTGATGACCCTCCTCTAGGCCCTCGTGTATCTTTTGCGTTGGTCACAGCCCCCTGTTCTGGTGGTCATTTTCTTTCTGCTGGTTCTCCGGCGTGGCCACCAGGGCGGCACGATGGTATGTTTACATGCACCTGGGTGTGCGAGCGAGCGTCTGGGGTGAGTTTTTTTCACCTCTTTCAGGGGTTTTATTCTCCTGTTGTCGTTTCTTTGCTTTTCTGGCGTTTTCTGCCCGTCCTCTGTTTCTCTGGGAACGTTTGGGTGTTGGTTTTTATACTGGGTTTTCTGTTTTCTGTCTGTTTTGGGTCTGGGCCTTAGGGTTTGGGCTCAGTGTCCCTGTCTATGCTTGCTCCCACACCTTGTCCCTTGCTTTTTGGTCTGTTTTAACCGTTTTCCTGGGGGGTTCTGTCTGGGGGCTGTGCCTTGCCTTTCTGTGGTGTATTTCCGCCGGCAAATGTGGTGGTTTGGGCTCCCCCGGATTCGATTCTGGGATCCTTTGGGTTCCTTGGTTTCGATCCGGAGGTTTTTTCCTCTTGGGCTCCTTTGTGGGTTCAAGGGGTTTTGTTTCCTCGTGTGTGACCCGGTTCTGCCTTATGGGGTTCTGGGGTCTTCCTGGCTTGCAGGCCGATCTTTTTGGGTCTTGGCACGTGTTGTGGTCGTGCCGGGACTTTGTGTTTTGTTGTTGAGATGGGCCTTTTGATGCAGTCTTGTGCTTTCTTCGCCTGGCCGGCGTGGTGCTCTCTGCCCACTGGTCGGCGACTTGTATTTTTCTTTTCACGTGTATGTGTGTGTATACATGTACATGTGTACACGTGTGTGTGTGTGTGTTTGTGCACATGTAATTACCTAAGTGTAATTACCTAAGTGTAGTTACAGGATGAGAGCTACGCACGTGGTGTCCCGTCTTCCCAGCACTCTTTGTCTTATAACGCTTTGAAACTACTGACAGTCTTGGCCTCCACCACCTTCTCACCTAACTTGTTCCAACCGTCTACCACTCTGTTTGTGAAAGTGAATTTTCTTTTATTTCTTCGGCATCTGTGTTTAGCTAGTTTATATCTATGACCTCTTGTTCTTAAAGTTCCAGGTCTCAGGAAATCTTCCCTATCGATTTTATCAATTCCTGTTACTATTCTGTATGTAGTGATCATATCACCTCTTTTTCTTGTGTGTATATGCATGTTCATACGCCCATGTGTGTAATACACCTTGTGTGCGTGTTTTTATATACAGAAGGGGTTTTGTTCCCTTCGCTGTTGACGGGGCGCTGGGGGAGCAGCTTGCTCTGTTGACTCTTGCTTAATCCCGCAGTTAGTGGGCGTGTTTGGTTGTCTTCCGGCCTCTGGTGGAGGTTACCTACCTTGAGGCTACCTTGAGGTGCTTCCGGGGCTTAGTGTCCCCGCGGCCCGGTCGTCGACCAGGCCTCCTGGTTGCTGGACTGATCAACCAGGCTGTTAGACGCGGCTGCTCGCAGCCTGACGTATGAGTCACAGCCTGGTTGATCAGGTATCCTTTGGAGGTGCTTATCCAGTTCTCTCTTGAACACTGTGAGGGGTTTGCCAGTTATGCCCCTTATGTGTAGTGGAAGCGTGTTGAACAGTCTCGGGCCTCTGATGTTGATAGAGTTCTCTCAGAGTACCTGTTGCACCTCTGCTTTTCAACGGGGGTATTCTGCACATCCTGCCATGTCTTCTGGTCTCATGTGGTGTTATTTCTGTGTGCAGGTTTGGGACCAGCCCCTCAATTATTTTCCACGTGTAAATTATTATATATCTCTCCCGCCTGCGCTCGAGGGAGTACAGATTTAGGCTCTTTAGTCGGTCCCAGTAATTTAGATGTTTTACTGAGTGGATTCTAGCAGTAAAGGATCTCTGCACGCTCTCTAGGTCAGCAATTTCTCCAGCTTTGAAAGGGGCTGTCATTGTGCAGCAGTACTCCACTCTAGAGAGCACAAGCGTCTTGAAGAGTATCATCATCGGTACAGCATCTCTAGTGTGAAAAGTTCTTGTTATCCAACCTGTCATTTTTCTTGCAGTTGTGACGGCTACTTTATTGTGTTCTTTAAAGGTAAGGTCTTCCGACATGAGTACACCCAGGTCCTTTACATTGCCTTTTCGTTCTATGTTATGATTTGCCTGCGTTTTGTACGTGGTTCCTGTTTTTATGTTTTCAATTTTTCCGTAGCGCATGAGCTGAAACTTATCCTCGTTGAATACCATATTATTTTCTGTAGCCCATAGAAAGACCTGATCAACATCTGATTGGAGGTTTGCCGTGTCCTCTATGTTGCCAACTCTCATGAAAATCCTAGTGTCATCTGCAAAGGATGATACAGTGCTATAGGTTGTGTTCTGGTCTATGTCCGATATGAGGATGAGAAAAAGTACTGGAGCAAGCACAGTACCCTGGGGGACTGAGCTCTTCACGGTTGATGGGCTGGATTTTATTTTGTTGACTATTACACATTGGGTTCTGTCAGTCAGGAAATTGTAGATCCATCTGCCTATTTTCCCGGTAATTCCTTTTGAACGCATTTTATGTGCAATAACACCATGGTCACATTTATCAAAAGCTTTTGCGAAATCTGTGTAAATTACATCAGCGTTTTGTTTGTCTTCCATAGCATCTAATGCCATATCATAGTGGTCCAGCAACTGCGACAGGCAAGAGCGCCCTGTTCTGAAACCATGTTGTCCGGGGTTATGAAGATGCTGTGATTCCATGTATTTTGTGATCTTACTTCTTAGCACTCTCTCAAAAATTTTTATGATGTGCGATGTTAGTGCTATCGGTCTGTAATTTTTTGCCTCTGCCTTATTTCCTCCTTTATGGAGTGGTGCTATCTCTGCTGTTTTTAGTATGTCAGGGATAACGCCAGTATCTAGGCTTTGTCTCCACAGAATGTGAAGGGCCTGCGATAGTGGTTTTTTACAGTTCTTGATGAATATGGAGTTCCAAGAATCCGGGCCTGGTGCAGAGTGCATAGGCATACTGTTTATGGCTTCTTCAAAATCTAGTGGGGATAGGGCGAC